TAATATAATAAAATCATTAAAATTATCATTAAATAAAGCAAATAATGGTAGCATTGAAATGTCAAGGTGTGTACTAGTAGACAGGTTTTTACACAACAATTGATAAGACATAATTATCCTTAATAAGTAAAAAGTCACAAAGGTGATTCTTGCCTGCATACCTGATGTGAAGCTTGGATTCATTTATCAAAAGTCAGCTTGGAAAATAGGGCAATAAATGCCAGGAAGAGACTGAAGATGTGTTATTGCCAGATGATTCATAAGCTGTTATATGTCACTGCATTATGTTACTGCAAAGTGAGTGGATTTTGACTTGGGGATTAGAAACCAAATGTCACAGTCTTCCTTAATGGTATATATTTAGTTAAGTTTCTGCATTATGGTATTGCCAGCAGTGACATCTTTTACATTCTTGTTTGTAACATGCTGGAAAGAACAATAATTGTAATTAGATAAACTTGCCCCACCTATGGATAACACAGAAGGTATATTCAACCCCATTGTTTTAGTTTTTCCTTTCCCCCCCCAATACCCCACCTGCCTGCCCGCATGCCACGCGAATCATGCGAAGCTCATGCACATGTTTCCGTAGGATTTGTTTATTTTTCTGTTAGCTGGATCAACAGAGGGTTGAGGGTCGGGGCATTGTGTGCTCTGGTCCTTTAGCTTACCTGTACACAGGCATGACCAAACAATACCTTCCCCATCAGCTGATTCAACAGTGCATTTCAACACAGGCGTGTGTCACTATAACATGCGTCTGTTTACACGCACTGGCACTGCGACATGTGGGCCCACACACTTGTCAGGAGAGCGTTAATTAAGGAATCATCGTGGTCGCTCATAGGAATGGTGTGGTTGTTCTTATGTAGTGGTGTGATTTGGGTTTTTGAATTATTTCAATACTTAATAGTATTTAGAGGGATGAGAGCACCCTGACTTTTGAAAGTGATCATTTCTGGTTGTTATCCTTGACTTCTTCTTTTTTGTCTTTTTCTCTTTCAAATTGTTGTCATCTTTCCCTTTTAAAAAAAATGTTTGCCTTGTATTATTTTATGGAATTTTTCAGTTTATTTTTCTTCTTTCCCTTTATGCTATTTGTCTTGATATTTTATGAAATCTTGATTAATATTAAAGAAGTCTTGCCTGGTTTTATGACTAAGATGCCTCACTGGTCTTCATAATTTTGAGCAAGTTAGGGCATAATGATGATTATAATTATTTTGCAAGAGACTGGAGAAATGTCCTTATTTAAAAATAAGTGAGATTTAAATACCGTCTTGCTAGTCATTTTCATCAATTCCTTATTTTGGCTACTTACTAGAGATTCCACTTCTTGAACATTCACAATAGAAAGCACTTAAAATTTTGACATGTTTGACAAACCTGCATGTTATATAACGTTAACCTGCAGGTCTGCTTACTAATAAAGCCCAGTTGTTTAGACATCAGTGTTGTTTGCGCGGAGTGTTATGGTTCCTTAAAGATGTTGACTCAGCTTACTTCATAATTACCTGCATCATCTGTTTATTACCTGTAATCAACTCTCTGATTGAGTGCTTGTAGTTGAATCAGCTGACGCCAAAGTAAACAACAACAGCTCTAATGTCCATTATTATGGGGACATTGACTTACCCTCCATTGTTGTATTGAAGGGTTCGTGACAGCCCCCTTAAGTAGCGTGTCATACAGTCAAAAATTAACATCTTGATTTTGAACCACAGGCATCTGATCTTGCAGTTGCAGCTGGTGGACATGGGTCATGTTTCAGGCCTCTAGCAGTCTGTTTTGTTAGCCACTGGTCCTGTGCCCCTGGCATATGAAATTTTTGTTTGAACCAGTGAATTTTTCAGAATGTGTAAATTTAGTGGTCAGACATGGCCATTAGAATTTTTCTTAAAGTTTTCAAAAGCACTTTCAAATCCAATCAATATTTCCTGAAATGTAACTTGTTATTACTAATATTAATGCTATAAAAATTATTGGTCTTACTGATATTTTTATTTGGACCAGTGAAATCTGATTTCGCCCAGTAGATTTCAGGAAAGTGGTCAGATTGCCAAGGCCAATAAGCTGAAAAGTTAATAGCACAGGCTGCCTTAGGCAGCTGTGTAAAAGGGTGGGTGTAGGAATAAGTCTTCTTTTGAAATGTCTTTCATTTTTGGCCACAGAAATGTCTACTTTGAATCAAAATTTTGAAAATTTTTAAATGCTGTACTGATGCACACATCTAGGTTTCTTGGTAAAAAAAGAACTTTTTCCCTTTGAAATTGCTATCTTCAGGCCTTATAATGCCAGAAGCATATTTCGTGTATTTATAATTTTGCAAAATGCTCATTTTAGACTATATTTCATTCTTAAGAGTATGGCTAGATCTGCATGTGAGTGTGTGTGTGTGTGTTGTGGGGGGGCATGGGGGGGGNTCCCACCTTAATGGTATATATTTAGTTAAGTTTCTGCATTATGGTATTACCAGCAGTGACATCTTTTACATTCTTGTTTGTAACATGCTGGAAAGAACAATAATTGTAATTAGATAAACTTGCCCCACCTATGGATAACACAGAAGGTATATTCAACCCCATTGTTTTAGTTTTTCCTTTCCCCCCCCCAATACCCCACCTGCCTGCCCGCATGCCACGCGAATCATGCGAAGCTCATGCACATATTTGAGTAGGATTTGTTTATTTTTCTGTCAGCTGGATCAACAGAGGGTTGAGGGTCGGGGCATTGTGTGCTCTGGCCCTTTAGCTTACATGTACACAGGCATGACCAAACAATACCTCCCCCATCAGCTGATTCAACAGCGCATTTCAACACAGGCGTGTGTCACTATAACACGCGTCTGTTTACACGCACTGGTACTACGACATGCGGGCGCACACACTTGTCAGGAGAGCGTTAATTAAGGAATCATCGTGGTCGTGCATAAGAATGGTGGGGTTGTTCTTATGTAGTGGTGCGATTTGGCTTTTGAATTATTTTAATACTTAAAAGTATTTAGAGGAATGAGAGCACCCTGATTTTTGAAAGTGATCATTTCTGGTTGTTATCCTTGATTTCTTCTTTTCTGTCTTTTTCTCTTTCAAATTGTTGCCATCTTTCCTTTTAATAAAATGTTTCCCTTGTATTATGTTTGGATTTTTTTTCAGTTTACTTTCTTCTTTCCCTTTATGCTGTTTGTCTTGATATTTTATGGAAATGAAATCTTGATTAGTATTAAAGAAATCTTGCCAGGTTTCATGATTAATATGCCTATTGGACTTCATAATTTTGAGCAAATAAGTGCATAGTGATAATTATTATTATTTTGCAAGAGATTGGAGAAATGTCCTTAGATTAGTGAGCTTTGAATACTGTCTTACCACTCATTGACATGGAGTCCTTATTTTGGCTAGTTACTAGAGATTCCACTTCTTGAACATTCACAATAGAAAGCACTTAAAATTTTGACATGTTTGACGAACCTGCATGTTATATAACGTTAACCTGCAGGTCTGCTTACTAATAAAGCCCAGTTGTTTAGACATCAGTGTTGTTTGCGCGGAGTGTTATGGTTCCTTAAAGATGTTGACTCAGCTTACTTCATAATTACCTGCATCATCTGTTTTTTACCTGTAATCAACTCTCTGATTGAGTGCTTGTAGTTGAATCAGCTGACGCCAAAGTAAACAACAACAGCCCTAATGTCCATTATTACGGGGACATTGACTTGCCTTCCATTGTTGTATTGAAGGGTTCGTGACAGCCCCCTTAAGTAGCGTGTCATACAGTCAAAAATTAACATCTTGATTTTGAACCACAGGCATCTGATCTTGCACTTGCAGCTGGTGGACATGGGTCATGTTTCAGGCCTCCAGCAGTCTGTTACGTTAGCCACTGGTCCTGTGCCCCTGGCATATGAAATTTTTGTTTGAACCAGTGAATTTTTCAGAATGTGTAAATTTAGTGGTCAGACATGGTCATTAGAATTTTTCTTAAAGTTTTCAAAAGCACTTTCAAATCCAATCAATATTTCCTGAAATGTAACTTGTTATTACTAATATTAATGCTATAAAAATTACTGGTCTTACTGATATTTTTATTTGGACCAGTGAAATCTGATTTCGCCCAGTAGATTTCAGGAAAGTGGTCAGATTGCCAAGGCCAATAAGCTGAAAAGTTAATAGCACAGGCTGCCTTAGGCAGCTGTGTAAAAGGGTGGGTGTAGGAATAAGTCTTCTTTTGAAATGTCTTTCATTTTTGGCCACAGAAATGTCTACTTTGAATCAAAATTTTGAAAATTTTTAAATGCTGTACTGATGCACACATCTAGGTTTCTTGGTAAAAAAATAACTTTTTCCCTTTGAAATTGCTATCTTCAGGCCTTATAATGCCAGAAGCATATTTCGTGTATTCATAATTTTGCAAAATGCTCATTTTAGACTATATTTCATTCTTAAGAGTATGGCTAGATCTGCATGTGAGTGTGTGTGTGTGTGTGGGGGGGGGTGGGGGGGGGGGCAGGAACTAATATACAAAATATCTGTAACAACATGTACTTTTGCAATGAGATGATGCTGAAGTATCTACAAACACAACTTATTTGTCCATTTTACTTTACTTTGCTAATTTATTTAGTGATAATGAATTTGGTAAAAAAAAGTAAAACAAATATGTTAACTGTAAACTAGGTACTGTCCAGTGAATAAACAACTATGACTTTGTTCCATTTTCTTCAACCTTCCCAGTTGATGGCAGATTTCATCTTATGTGTTCAGAATTATTATAGCATCATAACTAACTTACACTTTCATCTGCCAGCTGCAAGAATACCACAAAGTAGTCACTGGGTAGAGATATGAACAGGTGATACAACAAGTCTACGGATAATCTCTCACAGTTTTCTGCTTGATAGTTTCAGCAACTCCAACAAGGGGGCAGCACCTGCTGGTCTCTCTTACAGATCTGGGATACAAGAGTAGCCTTAATCTGAAATTCTGTTTTTGATATTATTGCAGTTCTCCCAAGGACCCAAAAGAACGTTTGATCAAGCGAATAATTGCACTAGAAGGGGATACTGTCAAGTAAGTGGCGAAAAATGAAAACAAAAAATTGAGTGTAGTAAATAGTCAAAGTTGAGGATTACTGAAAAGAAACTGCACCATAAACATGTTTTCTGATCACAGGTGTAATGTATGAAAAACATTTTTTTCTTTTTTTTTCTTTTTTTGAGAGAGAGAAAGGTGGATCAAATACATTTAAGATATATTTATGTGTGTAAACACAGTTATCAGTTTTATACAGTCTAGCATCACTGGAACTAGAGTTGAAGCTAGGAAGTAATGTCATTTTCAAGTTACTGCGATAACCAGAGAAAAAATTGTTGTTGGGCTTGAGACTCACAGGTATAAGTTATTTATTGTCTTCATATGGTGCTCAAGTTCGAAAATGGGCATAGTTTTTTTTTTTAATTTTGGCTGTATATTGCTGCATAGATGGGGTCAAAAACTGTTGCTTACCAGGTCGATGTCATAGAAGAGGATGCCCCAGTGCTGATATGATATGAAATGAATTATCTTTCATCTGTAGTCTTTTCTGATGACTAGATACAACAAGAATGTCATCCCTTCTTTATGCATTTTACAAGATAAGATGACTGTGTAATCTTGTCAGGACAGTGGCTATATAGAGGTGTGGAGATTTATGTACATATGATTACAGACATGGGATTGACTCATTCTTCTCATTGGGGAAAATCGTGATTTTTGCAGATACTGTATTCTTTTAAAGACTAATTATTTTTTATTCAGAACATCCCTTTTGTCAATGACAACAAAATAACAGAATTGAAAAGCAGGCTACTCATAAGTTTTATTCTATACAGTGATAGCACCACAAATGCTAGTAAGATGTATGTATGTAATATATCTGAAAATTTGATTATTTTTTGCCATTGAAAATATCGAGTCATTACCACTATACTGTTCATCAACATTTGGGTAAGAAAAGCCAGAGGGGTGGACAGGTTGGACTGCATCATATAACATCTTAAAATGGCACAGGTTTGACACTGAGCTTTCTCTTTTAATTCACAATCCATGTCCCACTCTTAAAACTGTTTTCAGTATAGTATATATTGCACATTGTGCTGATGTTTACAATGGGTGTTATATTTAGACCTGCTGCTTTTGAAAGTTATGAAAGCGTGGACGTAACAGGTAGACAAGAGAATACTGTTAGGCTAAGTTACATAAAACTATTCAAATTTGATTCTGTTCATAGCGAGCTACACAGGTAGAAAAGAAAAGGGGGCAAAGAAAAGAAAAGGAGGCACTTATAATGATAATGATAATAATAATAATAATCTTTATTGGAGAATCTCAACCCGAAGGTTGAAGTTTCTCAACCCGAAGGTTGAAGTTATACAATTATGTTATACAATTATATATGAATATTCAAGTCAAGGAAGCCTGGTCATTTTAGCACTGGTGCACTCCGTAGACGGTCTCACCTCCCTGGGGAGCATACACTTAAGTATACTTATGGTACACAAGATGATGAGGGTGACAGTCATTTTGTGCAGTTTTAGTCAACACTTACTGTTATGTTGAGTGTCTTGAACTATTTAGAACAGTCATCTACTAGGAGTGAGTGACGATAATGGAAATAGGCAGTGCCTCATTGTGATCTTTCATTTTGATTTTGCTCCCTACCTTGCATGCTATTGGACTATCTGAATTCAACCTGACCAAGAACTCGTTTAAGTAGAAAAAAAACCCAAGTGAAAATGGGTAATTTTAAAGGACATATTCTCCCAGGCTCATTCTTCATTGCTTTTGGTATATGGTGGACCATCAACATTTGGGTCAATTATTTTCGCGCTCAAGACAGGAAGAAGAAGCGGCCATTTCAATGCAGACTCATTTATCCTGTCGCTAGTAACTGCACCAGACTGAAGTGCTGTCACAGTGGCTCCATCTGCTGGGAAGGCATTGTGAAAGTGGTGGTCACAGGCATAGGCATTGTAGGGGAATTCAGCTACGGTTACGATGCCAAACTGCATTATGTTCATGCGGGCAATGCCCAGCACATCACCATGTTTGCCGCGTTCGGGTTGACCGGAGTCGTGGACATCCTGCTCTTTCACAAGGTTGCTTTACCCAGCAAGTGTGACTACATGTCCGTGGTGCTGGCCCTGGTGGTGGAGAGCATCCTGTTCAAGTTCCACTTACACGGAAGAACAATGCTGAACACTCACGTGCACACTTTGCTCCTATACACTCTGTACATGACAATTCCAGCCGTGTTAGCAGAGATGTACTTTGACAAGCATGTGCTGGCAGCGTTTGCACGCACATTTCTGTTCCTGCTCCAAGGAACATGGTTCTTTCAGGCAGCGTTCATCCTGTTCAGCCCTCTCCCCAGAGCATTGCCATGGAAACAGGACAGTCCCCATGAGGTGACACTTGTGACGTTGTTCTACACCTGGCATCTGGGAAGCCTGTTTGTGTTGATGCTCTGCATAGGAGGCATAGTGGGCTGTTGCTTGCGATATCGTAGGCGAGAACGCCGCAATGAAGATGTAGAAATGCAAAGCCTTCTGTCTACAGATGCTGCTAACCTGACCCCAGAGTGCGCAGAAGACTTCCTCAGTGATGGTGAAATTTAGTCACGAGTCCCATTTTGACACGATTATGTAAAGATTTTCGTCAAATATGCACAGCATCCTTATATTATTTATTTTGATCTGTGGAGAATTTTCAAAATCTGACAGCTAGTAAATGAGAAACTGACTCATATGCTGTAAACCTCCATATTTGTTACTGCAACAGTCTACTCCTTGATATTCCAGAGTGCCATGTATTGAATGAAACTCCAGTCTGTTTAATGTGCGTGTGCTAGATTATTGGACTAAATGAATATTATAAGCAAGAGCATTTTACACTAATTTTTCACCAACTATAAGTAACCCTCATGGCAAGAAATTTCTTATCAAGTTTAACGCTTATTTATCAGATTTAAAGGAAGTTGCCCATAAGATTTTTATTGATCAAACAAGTTTTTATTGTATACAGAAACGGATCACCCAACAGAGATTGGACACAGAGCAAACCATAACGACTTGTGGTCATCTAACTTTCACTATTACTGCAGCCATATTTTGACTTGAACCACCATGATAATAAATGTTCAAAGTTTATTAAAATAAAGCTTAAAACTTACCCTTTCAAATAATATCATGATCATTTATTAAAGTTATAGTGGATTTGACTTTTACTGCATTGGACCTTTGGAATTTTTAAAACAACTAAATTTTGAAGACACTGATATTTTTTAAGTGGATACACAGAACTTTATTGTGGTCTCCCTAGGCCAACTGACAAGGTCAGGCACATATGGCTGAATACTGTGTATGACACTCAAAGCTTTTTGAATGCAACTCACTCTCCCCTGGGAAACAACACATTGGAGACAAAGTTGAAAGGAGGGAATCTACTCTCTACTCTCATCATACTTGCAATAGAGATGAAGGGCTCAGTAACATTTACCAAGTTGTTGTGACGTCAGGACCCTGCACACACTAATGAAAGAATGGGAAGGGCAGTATCAGTCGATCTGGGGTTGTGGTGTTGCATATGTCAGCATTGGCCAATTTTTTTATTTCTTTTTATTTATTTATTTATTTATTTATTTATTTATTTATTTATTTTTTTTTTTGTGTGTGTGTGTGGGGGGGGGAGGGTGGAATTTAAAAACTAAATATAATAAATTATAAGTGTAATTATTAAAAAAGGATGTGTCTGATGTCCAAATACCTTCTGGTAACATGGTAATGGAATTTATTTATTTTAATTTATTTTACATTTTGCAACTTTTCTAGCATTTTGTGACAGAACAAAGCAGGGTGATTAGTTATAATACTTTTTTGTTATTTTTGTTTTATTTTCAATCAGGACCCTGGCCTACAAGAACCGTCAGGTTACAATTCCTGAGGGGCATTGCTGGGTGGAGGGAGACAGTAAATACAGGAGCTGCGATAGTAACATATTTGGTGCGGTATGTACGCCATTGGAGGTGCAAATTTTCGTCCTTTTTTATTTGAAGATGAAGACTGTATGTACGAAGTGGCTCTGTGAAATAGTATTATGCTCTGCTTATTATTTGTGTCATTGTTTACTTTGAATGGATAGTCAGACAAGTCACAGTGTCACTTATGGGCAAAATAAATCGGATAAATGTGTATGAATTGATTTTTTTGTTTAGAGTGTAATTTTGGGATGTATTTGTGTGAGATAAAAAGGGTTCCTTTGAGATAGGGAAATATCGATCCTTGATCTTTAAGTAGCTAAATTTTCAACCACTTACCTCTATTTTCAGATTTCCATGGGGCTAATACAAGGGCGCGCAACACACATAATATGGCCACCATCGCGAATACAAAGACTAGATAACCGTTACCCAGAGGAGCGTGTACAAATTCCTCCAGACTCTAAACATATACCTACCAGTAACCCTTCACTAGGTACCAGTAAACATTCAATTTTAGCAAATGAAAAGGAATGACAGAAGAGGAGGAATTAGGCCAAAATTTGAATGTATTTTATTTTGTATTATATATATATATATATATATATATATATATATAAAACATTTTACATGAAATCAAATACTGCATAATTAGATGAATTTTACCTATTGAAAATTGTCTGGCAAGCTGTGACGAGAAAACTACTTGTATCACCATCTTGTCAATTTTGTTTACGTAGATTTGCACAGTAAAAAAATTCTAAGGAAATAGATGGTAAATTGCTGAATACAGGTACCTACATATAAAAGAAAGAATTGAATATTGGATTTTTTTTTTTACAGTCAATAAGTTATTTTAACAGTGGTCAGTTTGAATCTTGCTGTCAGCTTTCACCTAAACCCATGGACAGGCCCAAACTATTGCTGCAAGCCGAGTCTGTTATTACTCTTGAAATGTAGCATAGTGGTACCATTAGTTGAGAAAAAAGGACATTTAATTATCATTTTTTTTATCAGCCATTGTTTCAGAATGACTTTGAATTCTGGAAAAATTTTGACTGGCCATTTCTGAAGCTCAAACATCCCCATTATATTCCCTTCTGAATAATATAGTTTTTGTTTGGTGTGAATAGCAGCACATTACCTTTGAAGATGCATGTAATTGATAAGTGGTAAAATTATTACAATATAAGTTTGATTTTTTTATCAGTATGGGATTTACTAAGTACCCAAATTGTCAATTTGTTTCTATTAGTTTTAAAGGATATTGTAAGTTATGCAGTCATTTACTGGGGGGACGGAATCGTATTTAGTCCATGAAAAAAATTTTATATTGGGTGAGGTGCCATTACAGTATGCTTGCATGGACCATAGCATTCTGTATTCTCCTGAAATTGACTGCACAATGATTAATCATGTTGCTGTTTTAACGTGAAGATAATATTATGACTACTTCACCAAGTCTTTGTGAGTCTTGTTTCAATTACTAACAGGGCACATTCAGAACCCGCAGGCTAATTGATCTGCATATTAAATATGGCCGACCCACTTAAAACTCGGCGCCACTTTGGGGCGCAATTCGTTCTCATGCTGATGTTTGCCTTGTTCCCTATGCCTGATCAAAGTGGAGCAGAAATTAAATCATTGTGCACTTGTAGGGATGGCATGTGTAAGAAGCAGGGAGCCCATTAAGGGACTATGCAGTATTGCTTTCAAGTGGGTTGGCCATTTTTGATTCGCGGATCAGTTTGTCCACGGATCAAATTGTTCTGAATGCACCCTGAGTGTGACGCGTATTAGGCAGAATATTGTCAATATGGCCTAACAAGGTCACCAGGTGTTCGAGATATATTGTAGGTTCTTCCTGGAATGATAACGTAACAATCATATATTGTCAGTACAAATAATTGAAACAAGACTCGGGGGGGGTTGCGAGTTCATTGTGCACTTCATCAGGTTGTATGGGCTTTTTCAGTGGTGTGATGATAATTATTTTAATTTGAAAAAAGTTGTCTCCTGTTCATTTATACAAATATTTCGAAAAAAGATGAGTGAAATGATTAAACTTTGCAATCTTCGTATACATGCTGATAATCTTGCCCATTGTAAAAATCAAATGCTGCTGTGGGTTTTGTCTTGTGTGGTTGTTATCAAATGTCAAAAAGGTCGACGAAGTACATTTGTCTGTTCGCCTTCCAGTTTGTATTGCACATAATACAAAAGGTTTAATGTATCACTTTTTAAAGAAATAAATATATTATTTATATTCAAACAATTGTCTGTTTGACCTTCATAATGCAACATTTAATTACATATTATATATACATAATTAAGCTGACCTATTTGAAAGAAGCAAGCTAATTAAGCTTGCATGCCGAATTTAGTTATCTTGTGAATCCTACCCTCCCAGCTTGGGAGCTTATGCTTAAAATAAGAGTGAAAATCAATGACACATACTTTCTGAATATATAATTGGAGAAACTGATGTCTGTGATTTATGAAGCTGCATACTGACCATATGGCAATGTACTTGTATATTTTACGTTGCAGAATAACTCGCAGAATAACTCGAAATGCATAAAGAGACAAAATAATTAAAATTAATGATACACACATATTGATCGTTGGGACAGGTATCCTACTAAGAAAATAAATTTCAAAATCACTCGATAATGTTTTTTTAAAGGTAAATTATAGGTATGCCAACATCCATAATAATCACTGTTTTGCCGTCACTACTAACAACATGGACAAATAACAATGAAATATGAATATGACATGAGGCAACTGTTGTAGTTACCAGAATTATAAAGATAATTCAAACACGGAAAATTATATATAGTGTTGAATGGGCAACGTTGTTTCAAACCCACTGGAACAACAGGAAAACATGGGTGTGGCAGAGAGACGTTTAATTTGCAGTAAGGCCTTATTTGCAGTGCAGTTTCTGATGGTTTTCTTTCTTATAACAGGTAGGGATATTTTAATGAAAATATGTGTTTTAATTGAAGTTAGATGTCAGTATTTATTGCGTGTTTATGTAATGTAGCCAGTCTCCCATATCAAATATATCAAAGGTAAAGGAGGAGATTTTGATAACAAAGTAATTTCTTCCAGCATTTGCTAGTGAATTCCTGTAAGATGTCATCTGAATTATTTCAAAAATTGCTCTCCTCTCATCTTTACTGACAGGTCTTTATGGTCGAAATAATGCTGCACTTTGCTTGTTTATGGGTTTCTATTGTCATCCGCCAGTCAATAACAATATGATCACTGGTAGATATAAACTATTGCTCAAAAATTGTCCCACTTTCAATCATTTGTGCTTTTGTTTACAAATAATAACATGATAGCTAAAGACCGATTTAGAATAAAAATAATTTATATATATTATAAAATAAAAATACCATATTTAACATGACTTACATTAGATAAAAACCAAAATACCATTTATTCAAAGTATTATTATGCACCCCCTCAAGAATGAGTTTTTATAGTGATTTTCACATAAATAATTATTGGCCATAAAATCGAAAAGACGCACCATATTTCATCAAATTTACATCAGAATGCACTCTTCAAAAGTCACTTGTTAATTAGTAGCATGTGCGTTTACGGCGTACTGCAATTATCTCCTATAAGCCGCATGGCATACCACCAACGAGGGGCACAGGAGTGTTTTGTGGGAAATTGTCCCATTATTTTTGAACTGCTTGAATTTTTTTTTTACAATTTTCTACTCTAGAATCCCAAGGACAAGTCTGCCCACCAGCTTCGAACCCCACAGTGCTGACCGCTCCGGTGACCATAGACCCTTGGCCTGGGGATGGATCGTATTCTAGCGACTTGGACTGTCACTGGCAAGTGAACGCCCCCAACGGAGAGGTATGGTCTTTATAATTATAAATAGAATATCAAAAAAATAGGTACTACATGGTTCTTGTGTATAAATGAATAATACTACTGAGCGCACTCGAGTACGGCAGGTTTTGCGTTTTTTTTTTTTTGCTTTCTTTCTTTTTTTTAATGTGTGATTTTTCTGCACTTGTACTGGGATGGGCGTTATTTGCAGAAACGCATGATTTTTTTTATCAAATTCAAAATTCTGCTTAGGAATGGACGTATCAACGTCATGTTACTTAAAAGCGATGCGTCGGCTTTATATCTTTACTTCTATATCACAGTAGACAACAGCGTAGGTACTAGGGTAGGCATACATGTAGGTGCCTCTCACGCTCCTTGTTTTATGGTGACTTTTGCTTCAAAATTGTAACAAGCATTATAATGCAACTAAGAGAGAGAGAGAGAGAGAGAGAAAGAGGGAGAGAGAGAGAGAGAGGTGAGATATAAGTATGATTGATTGTTGGTAAACAGGTGGAATTGATAGTGTGATTTGTACATCTGCGGCTCTTATTGTACCCCAGTATGCCCCTACTTGATCGACTAAATGATTATCGACTCTTACATGTATACATGCTGCTAAGCTTTACGTCCTTGATTTTAGGTTCTGGAGTACTCGATCGATTCTTTAGACATAGAGGATGACATAGACTGCTATTATGACTATCTAAAGCTAACAAGTCATTCTGGAGAGTCCCAAATATTTTGTGGAAGTACGCCAGCCAGTGGTACCTATTACAATCCAATTTACATTCATTTTCACAGTGATGATTTTATGGTTGGATCTGGATTTAGACTTGTAATAACGCCAGGTGAGTGGCACTTCTTTCTCTCTCTCTCTCTCTCTCTCTCTCTCAAGCGCTCGAACGTGCAGGTGTGATCCATCTATTATTAAAAAAGTTTTGTATTGAATAATAGTGCAAATTACTCGCCTGTCTCATTACTGTTGGAGAAAAAGCTTGAATGTTAACGACGAAACCCAGGCCTACCCAACTACCAGACTCGGCACCAATTGATCCGGAATTCACCGGTAGATCGGGCCACACTACCCGTTTTCATGGTGTGCGTCAGTACGCATTTCACAGTATCATACCCCGGAACAAATTTTGAGATGAGATGCGCCTACTTTACAACCTCGCTGAGAATCATCACTATCACATCGGGTACTAGGCGTGAGCGGTGTCGCGTCTGATAATTCGGAGCGCGTACTGATACACACCTTGAAAACGGGTATTGTGGCTCTGGTAGTTGGCCTGAAGCCGTTTCAATGAATATAGGTGTTTTAATTAAAGTTAGATGTCAGTATTTATGGCCTGTTTGTGTAATGTATTCAGTCTCCCATATCAAATATATCAAAGGTAAAGATGGAGATTTTTATAACAAAGTAATCTTTCCAGCGTTTGCTAGTGAATTCAGTGAATTCCTGTAAGGTGTCATCTAAATTATTTCAAAAAGTGCTCTCCTCTCATCTTCACCGACTGGTGTTTATGGTCGAAATAAAGTACACTTTGCTTGTTGATGGGTTTTCTATTGTCATCCGCCAGTCAATAACAATATGATCACTGGTAGATATAAACTATTGCTCAAAATTTGTCCCACTTTCAATCATTTGTGCTTTTGTTGACAAATTATCACGATAGCTGTAAACCGAGCTAGAATACTATATTTAACATCAGACTTGAATAAAGAAAAGCCGAAATTCCTCTGAAGACATACACAATTTATACCATATGTTGTAAAGCAAATGGCATACTCTTTCGATAATTACAAAACAATTAAAACAGAATTAAATGTGTGGGAATTTATTGAGTGCAAAGTGAATTGTCAACGAGTGTAGAGACTGTTCTCGAAGCAAGAAAGGGTGGAACATTTCAGAGTCAGATATAGTTGGATCTGATTGGTTAATTTTTCTATAGATTGCACTTTTTTAACATGTGTAAAACTCATGCATACTCGAGTTGGACAAGATCCAAGATGAGTAATTCGGGAAATATTTTAAATATTTTAAATCATAAAAAAGTCTCATTTAAATTACTGAATTAGGAAATATTGAATAGAGTTTTGTAATATGAGAATAGAAAATTCTTCGGGTAATAGTGTATAAATACTTGTAGATTCTGTGAAAAAGTAAGTCGGTGAATAAACGTTCGAAAGCTCCAGACTGCTGAATTTCTCACTATAAAACATTTACTCAAAGTAGGAATATGCACCCCCTCAAGAATGAGTTTTTATAGTGATTTTCACATAAATAATAATTGGCCATAAAATCGCAAAGACGCACCAAATTTAATCAAATTTACATCAGAATGCACTCTTCAAAAGTCACTTGTTAATTAGTAGCATGTGCGTTTACGGCGTACTGCAATTATCTCCTATAAGCCGCATGGCATACCACCAACGAGGGGCACAGGAGTGTTTTGTTGGAAATTGTCCCATTATTTTTGAACTGCTTGAATTTTTTTTTCAATTTTCTACTCTGGAATCCCAAGGACAAGTCTGCCCACCAGCTTCGAACCCCACTGTGCTGACCGCTCCGGTGACCATAGACCCTTGGCCTGGGGATGGATCGTATTCTAGCGACTTGGACTGTCACTGGCAAGTGAACGCCCCCAACGGAGAGGTATGGTCTTTATAATTATAAATAGAATATCAAAAAAATAGGTACTACATGGTTCTTGTGTATAAATGAATAATACTACTGAGCGCACTCGAGTACGGCAGGTTTTGGGGTTTTTTTTCTTTCTTTCTTTTTTTTAATGTGTGATTTTTCTGCACTTGTACTGGGATGGGCGTTATTTGCAGAAACGCATGATTTTTTTTTTATCAAATTCAAAATTCTGCTTAGGAATGGACGTATCAACGTCATGTTACTTAAAAGCGATGCGTCGGCTTTATATCTTTACTTCTATATCACAGTAGACAACAGCGTAGGTACTAGGGTAGGCGTAGGTGCCTCTCACGCTCCTTGTTTTGTGGTGACTTTTGTTTCAAAATTGTAACAAGCATTATAATGCAACTAAGAGAGAGAGAAAGAGAGAGAGAGAGAGATGAGATATGAATATGATTGATTGTTGGTAAACAGGTGGAATTGATAGTGTGATTTGTACATCCGGGGCTCTTATTGTACCCCAGTATGCCCCTACTTGATCGACTAAATGATTATCGACTCTTATACATGCTGCTAACCTTAACGTCCTTGATTTTAGGTTCTGGAGTACTCGATCGATTCTTTAGACATAGAGGATGACATAGACTGCTATTATGACTATCTAAAGCTAACAAGTCATTCTGGAGAGTCCCAAATATTTTGTGGAAGTACGCCAGTCAGTGGTACCTATTACAGCCCAGTTTACATCCATTTTCACAGTGATGATTCTATGGTTGGATCTGGATTTAGACTTGTAATAACGCCAGGTGAGTGGCACCTCTCTCTCTCTCTCTCTCTCTCTCAAGCGCTCGAACGTGCAGGTGTGATCCACTCTTTATTAAAAAAAGTTTTGTATTGAATAATAGTGCAAATTACCCAGTTAATATCATCGCCTGTCTCATTACTGTTGGAGAGAAAGCTTGAATGTTAACGACGAAACCCAGGCCTACCCAACTACCAGACTCGGCACCAATTGATCCAGAATTCACCGATAGATCGGACCACACTACCCGTTTTCATGGTGTGCGTCAGTACGCATTTTACAGTATCATACCCCGGAACAAATTTTGAGATGAGATGCGCCTACTTTACAACCTCGCTGAGAATCATCACTATCACATCGGAGCGGTGTCGCGTCTGATACTTCGAAGCGCGTACTGATACACACCTTGAAAACGGGTATTGTGGCTCTGGTAGTTGGCCTGAAGCCGTTTCAATGAAAATAGCTGTTTTAATTTAAGTTAGATGTCAGTATTTATGGCGTGTTTGTGTAATGTATTCAGTCTCCCATATCAAATATATCAAAGGTAAAGGTGGAGATTTTTATAACAAAGTAATCTTTCCAGCATTTGTGAATTCAGTGAATTCCTGTAAGGTGTCACTTGAATTATTTCAAAAATTGCTCTCCTCTCATCTTCACCGACAGGTGTTTATGGTCGAAATAAACTACACTTTGCTTGTTTATGGGTTTCTATTGTCATCCGCCAGTCAGAAGCAATATGATCACTGGTAGATATAAACTATTACTCAAAATTTGTCCCACTTTCAATCATTTGTGCTTTTGTTGACAAATTATCACGATAGCTGTAAACCGAGCTAGAATACTATATTTAACATCAGACTTGAATAAAGAAAAGCCGAAATTCCTCTGAAGACATACACAATTTATACCATATGTTGTAAAGCAAATGACATACTCTTTCGATAATTACAAAACAATTAAAACAGAATTAAAGGTGTAGGAAGTTATTGAGTGCAAAGTAAAACGTCTTGAAGTGTCAACGAGTGTAGAGACTGTTCTCGAAACAAGAAAGGGTGGAACATTTCAGAGTGAGATATAGTTGGATCTGATTGGTTAATTTTTCTATCGATTTGCACGTTTTTAACATGTGTAAAACTCATGCATACTCGAGTTGGACAAGATCCAAGATGAGCAATTCGGGAAATATTTTAAATATTTTAAATTATTAACAAGTCTCATTTAAATTACTAAATTAGGAAATATTGAAAAGAGTTTTATAATATGAGAATAGAAAATTCTTCGGGAAATAGTGTATAAATATTTGTAGATTCTGTGAAAAAGTAAGTCGGTGAAAAAACGTTCGAAAGCTCCAGACTGCTGTCGTCATTTCTCATTATAACACATTTATTCAAAGTAGGAATATACACCCCCTAAAGAATGAGTTTTTATAGTGATTTTCACATAAATAATAATTGGCCATAAAATCGAAAAGACGCAACAAATTTAATCAAATTTACAACAGAATGCACTCTTCTATAGTTACTTGTTTAGTAGCATGTGCGTTAACGGCGTACTGCAATTATCTCCTATAAGCCGCATGGCATATACCATCAACGAGGGGCACAGGAGTGTTTTGTGGGAAATTGTCCCATTATTTTTGAACTGCTTGAAAGTTTTTTTTTTTTCAATTTTCTACTCTAGAATCCCAAGGACAAGTCTGCCCACCAGATTCCAACCCCACAGTGCTGACCGCCCCGGTGACTATAGACCCTTGGCCTTGGGATGTATCGTATTCCAGCGATTTGGACTGTCACTGGCAAGTGAACGCCCCCAACGGAGAGGTATGGTCTTTATAATTATAAATAGAATATAAAAAAAATAGGTACTACATGGTTCTTGTGTATAAATGAATAATAGTACTGAGCGCACTCGAGTACGGCAGGTTTTGCGTTTTCTTTTTTCTTTCTTTCTTTCTTTCTTTCTTTTTAATGTGTGATTTTTCTGCACTTGTACTGGGATGAGCGTTATTTGCAGAAACGCGTGATGTTTTTTTTAGAATCAAATTCAAAATTCTGCTTAGGAATGTACGTATCAACGTCATTACTTAAAAGCGATGCGTCGGCTTTATATCTTTACTTCTATGTCACAGTAGACAGCGTAGGTACTAGGGTAGGCGTAGGTGCCTCTCACGCTCCTTGTTTTATGGGGACTTTTGCTTCAAAATTGTAACAAGCATTGTAATGCAACTAAGAGAGAGAGAGAAAGAGAGAGAGAGATGAGATATAAATATGATTGATTGTTGGTAAACAGGTGGAATTGATAGTGTGATTTGCACATCTGTGGCTCTTGTTGTACCCCAGTATGCCCCTACTTGATCGGCTAAATGATTATCGACTCTTATACATGCTGCTAAGCTTTACGTCCTTGATTTTAGGTTTTGGAGTACTCGATCTATTTTTTAGACATAGAGGAGGTCAAAGACTGCGATTTTGACTATCTAAAGCTAACAAGTTATTCTGGAGAGTCCCAAATATTTTGTGGAAGTACGCCAGCCAGTGGTAACCATTACAGTCCAATTTACATTCATTTTCACAGTGATGATTCTATTGTTGGATCTGGATTTAGACTCGTAATAATGCCAGGTGAGTGGCACCTCTCTCTCTCTCCTAAGCGCTCAAACATGCAGGTGTGATCCACCCTTTATTAAAAAAGTTTTGTATTGAATAATAATGCAAATTACTCGCCTGTCTCATTACTGTTGGAGAGAAAGCTTAAATATTAACGACGAAGTCCAGGCCTACCCAACAACCAGACTCGGCACCAATTGATCCGATATGCACCGGTAGATCTGGCCACCCTGCCCGTATACATGGTGTGCGTCAGTACGCATTTCACAGTATCATACCCAGGAACAAATTTTGAAATGAGATGCGCCTACTTTACAACCTCGCTGAGAATCATCACTATCACATCGGATACTAGGCATGAGCGGTGTCGCGTCTGATACTTCAAAGCGCGTACTGATACACACCTTGAAAACGGGTATTGTGGCTCTGGTAGTTGGCCTGAAGCCGTTTCAATGAAAATAGGTGTTTTAATTTAATTTAGATGTCAGTATTTATGGCGTGTTTGTGTAATGTATTCAGTCTCCCATATCAAATATATCAAAGGTAAAGGTGGAGATTTTTATAACAAAGTAATCTTTCCAGCATTTGCTAGTGAATTCAGTGAATTCCTGTAAGGTGTCATCTGAATTATTTCAAAAATTGCTCTCCTCTCATCTTCACCGAAAGGTGTTCATGGTCGAAATAAGCTACACTTTGCTTGTTTATGGGTTTCTATTGTCATCCGCCAGTCAATAACAATATGATCACTGGTAGATATAAACTATTGCTCAAGAATTGTCCCACTTTCAATCATTTGTGCTTTTGTTGACAAATTATCACATGAAAGCTGTAAACCGAGCTAGAATACTATATTTAACATCAGACTTGAATAAAGAAAAGCCGAAATACCTCTGAAGACATACACAATTTATACCATATGTTGTAAAGCAAATGACATACTCTTTCGATAATTACAAAACAATTAAAACAGAATTAAATGTGTAGGAAGTTATTGAGTGCAAAGTAAATGTCTTGAAGTGTCAACGAGTGTAGAGACTGTTCTCGAAGCAAGAAAGGGTGGAACATTTCAGAGTCAGATATAGTTGGATCTGATTGGTTAATTTTTCTATCGATTTCCACGTTTTTAACATGTGTAAAACTCAAGCATACTCGAGTTGGACAAGATCTAAGATGAGTAATTCGGGAAATATTTTAAATATTTTAAATCATAAACAAGTCTCATTTAAATTACTAAATTAGGAAATATTGAATAGAGTTTTGTAATATGAGAATAGAAAATTCTTCGGGTAATAGTGTATAAATACTTGTAGATTCTGTGAAAAAGTAAGTCGGTGAAAAAACGTTCGAAAGCTCCAGACTGCTGTCGTCATTTCTCACTATAACACATTTATTCAAAGTAGGAATATGCACCCCCTCAGGAATGAGTGTTTATAGTGATTTTCACATAAATAATAATTGGCCATAAAATCGAAAAGACTCGCCATATTTCATCAAATTTACATCAGAATGCATTCTTCTAAAGTTACTTGTTTAGTAGTAGTGCGTTTACGGCGTACTGCAATTATCTCCCATAAGCCGCATGGCATACCACCAAAGAGGGGCACAGGAGTGTTTTGTGGGAAATTGTCCCATTATGCTTGAAAGTTTGTTTTTTTAAAATTTTCTACTCTAGAATCCCAAGGACAAGTCTGCCCACCAGATTCCAACCCCACAGTGCTGACCGCCCCGGTGACCATAGACCCTTGGCCTGGGGATGGATCGTATTTTAGAGACTTGGACTGTCACTGGCAAGTGAACGCCCCGAACGGAGAGGTATGGTCTTTATAATTAAAAATAGAATATAAAAAAAAATAGGTACTACATGGTTCTTGTGTATAAATGAATAATAGTACTGAGCGGACTCGAGTACGGCAGGTTTTGCGTTTTTTTCTTTCTTTCTTTTTTTTTAATGTGTGGTTTTTCTGCACTTGTACTGGGATGAAGGTTATTTGCGGAAACGCATGATGTTTTTTTTATCAAATTCAAAATTCTGCTTAGGAATGTACGTATCAACGTCATTACTTAAAAGCGATGCGTCGGCTTTATATCTTCACTTCTATGTCACAGTAGACAGCGTAGGTACTACAGTCGGGTAGGCGTAGGTGCCTCTCACGCTCCTTGTTTTATGGTGACTTTTGCTTCAAAATTGTAACAGGCATTATAATGCAACTAAAAGAGAGAGAGAAAGAGAGAGAGAGATGAGATATAAATATGATTGATTGTTGGTAAACAGGTGGAATTGATAGTGTGATTTGCACATCTGTGGCTCTTGTTGTACCCCAGTATGCCCCTACTTGATCGGCTAAATGATTATCGACTCTTATACATGCTGCTAAGCTTTACGTCCTTGATTTTAGGTTCTGGAGTACTCGATCGATTCTTTAGACATAGAGGATGTCACAGACTGCATTTTTGACTATCTAAAGCTATCAAGTTATTCTGGAGAGTCTCAAATATTTTGTGGAAGTATGCCAGCCAGTGGTACCTATTACAGTCCAATTTACATTCATTTTCACAGTGATGATTCTATTGTTGGATCTGGATTTAGACTTGTAATAACGCCAGGTGAGTGGCATCGCTCTCTCTTTCTCTCTCTCTCTCTCAAGCGCTCGAACGTGCATGTGTGATCCACCCTTTATTAAAAAAGTTTTGTATTGAATAATAGCAAAAATTACCCAGTTGCTATCATCGCCTGTCTCAGTACTATTGGAGAGAAAGCTTGAATGTTAACGAAGCCCTTTGAGAAATTTTTAATGTTCACCTGAAAATAAACTTACAAACACATTTCAAACGATTAAAGTTTCCACACACACACACACACTCACACACACACACACACACACTCAAACAAAAAATCACTTGAATTTTGCAGTTTTAGTGACTATGGCGTTCAACCAACTGCTTTATTGGTATCAACTTCAGTGTCGCTTCAAAACCTGGTGACGGGTTCCGAGAAGGTTCTACCAACGGAGGCAAACACAGTCACTCCGTCACAAACTGAACAGCAGTCTTCAACACCACCAAACTTCGATGCCTCAAGCTATATCCCAATCCACAGTGGACAACCGTCTCTAGTTACTGGTGCTTCCGGCTCACTTCAGACGACACAACCTTATTCAGCACGGGCCATTGTGACAACAACCAATACACTGTCAACGTATACCATGTCTCAGATGACGCCAACACCTTCAGAATTTATTACATACCAATCTATTCAACCATCACCAAGCCCAGAGTCACTTGAATATGTCTCGTCGCAGTCCATCACCTTAAATGAGCAATCAGCAACACATCCGCCCACAATGCCGAACAAAGTCACTTCCCCTGCCACTGCCGGTCAGGTGAGCCAAAAGGCTAAAGAAATAGCAAGGAGGTTGGCGGCTGCCGTAGTCGGGGGCACAGCAGGAGCCATAGCTGTTATAATAATTATAACACTGGGAGCGGTTTTATTCATCAAATGGTATGCATATAAATTCACTGTCATTTCAGATTTGTTGGCTCTCAATTCCTCAGCATAGCATACCAAAGTGTCAGACCTTTGACATTTTTAGATTGTTTTGCATTCAGAGTAAAATCTGTGATTGCATTCTGTGACGTAGTTTATATGACATGATAACTAAACTCATATTTATGTTTAGTTCACTCGTTTTGTCTGTTTTTTTTTCACACTCATTTTGACTTCTATATCATTACCAAAAAACGTTTTGATAATATCTTACGGATATTATTTGCCGTAAATAATTGAAATAAGCCAAGTGAACATGTCATTTTGTCTTTCAGGAAAGGACGCCAATCTAACGTCGTCCACACAATTTCTAACCGTGATAACTTGACCATGTGAAAATTATCACCTACTTTAAGGGATTGACGGAAATTCCAAATGAGGATGTTTCCAAAGTTGCACCAGATCCATAATGTGCAGTGTTCAGAAGTTTGAGCGACCAGATGTCAGTTGTGTTACATAGAAAGAGTACATAGAAAGAAGTGTAATTCATTTGAAGACTCCAGGACTTAGTTTTGCAATATGTTAATATCGAAAATGCTGGAAACGACTTATGATTTTAAGCGCAAGCACGAAAGGAGCAAAATTTCATTGGGGTGAAACCAGATCGGACCTTCATGATATCATGAGTACTCCAGTGTGAGAATACAGCAGTGATGTTATTATTTGTTCCGTATGTAATGATCTTTAATTATTCTTCTTCCTTTACTGTCAACTGTTTAACAAATTTAAAATGCTTACCGTGCTTGCTCAGTAAATACGGTGATTACTTAGAGAAAAAATCCCATTAATAAACCAGAACTGGTCATCTCTGTCCTCTGCCTGAAAACGTCGTCGTTGTTGTTGTTGTTGAAATATAGAATCCGAAACTGTGTTTTACCTTTTTTTCTACATAACAACGAATGCATTTATTTTGCATGACTAAGTAGGTGTTTATTAATCAAGTATCATGTTACTGAAATAAAATCTTACGCATGTCTAAGGAGTTGGCTACACTGATTTATAAAGATTATAATAAAAAAGGCAATCGCATTGGCGGCTTGTCTCTTGCAAAATAAAGTGACACTTTCTATTTCGTAGTAACAACATCACTCAAATTCGTCATCTCTTCAAACGGTTTAACTGGATAGGCCTAAGTAGCAAGAAAACTTTTTTGGTGACCATACAGTTACGTTGTCATGGTTATGACGGACGCAGTTGAATATGTAAGGGCAGTTGACTCAAAACATTTATTCTCCACTTGAGCCAGCTCTTCAATGATAAAAGAGGAGCTATGTACTTTATACACTGCGGCAGCCTGCTGGCAGCACAATTCCGATAGTGACACGAATTGTTGTTGGCGTGGTATCGCTTGGCACAGCAAGATGAAAGCCAATCTGCACAATTATTACCTGAAAAAAATACACACAAAAGATTTAATTGTGTATTGGTAACTGCTGGATTTAAATTTATCATTTATATTTTTATTTATAACTGTAAACATCCTGACAACACTGCTAGCGACACGAAATTATAGGTCCTACCCTATACGTGTAGTTACCAAAAAGTGGCACTTCAAGACCCCCTTCCAGTGCTGGCGGTTTAAGGTACGTTACACGCCATTAAGAATTGATTTTAAACTGTGGTGCACTGCCGTAAAGGGCGAAGATTTAAATGTCTTTTTTTTTTCTTACTCTTCTGACTTTTTGTATTTGAGGAAGTTTCACGGCAGGCTCTATCAGTTCCAGGCCTGACACTTCTGATTATTAGCATGTATTAGAGAGGTCCCTGTGTTACAGGTTTAGATTCCCAGTGATGCGTACAGGCAAGCCCAGTTCTACATTTGACCTACTTACATTACACTAGCCTGAACCTGTATGAATTAAATGAAGAGCAGAGTCGCCGGACGCTGTTACACAGACTCCCACTTTACACTGGCATTCTTTGCCATGTGTTTTTCAGCAGTTTTGTACACTGTCCCTTTACTTATTACCAATCTTGTACAGTAATGTCGGCGTAGGCTCATTGGTTGGTTGCATTCTAAAGAGTTAATGTAAAAAATAGATTTTTTTACATTTTTCAACTCTTAGAAAGCTGTCAAAATCATTGTTTGAATGTGTGTAACAACATGTTGCATAAATTAAATTTCCATAAAAACTAAAAGCATATGTTGTGACGTCACCCGACCACGTGACCTGGACCTGTTCCTTCATTTTTGCATATTGAGGTGGGGTGTTTTAAAACGCCCTTTTTCTACTAATCGATTGTTTTTATAATCTTTATATGATGGTTTTCGCTGTAAACGTATCAATAATGTACAATTTGAGTGATGTTTCCGTAAAAGTCAAAAACTGAAAATTACTCTGTCTGTTATCCTTTAACAAACAGACAAGTATGAGACCAATATTCAACAACTGCGACAAAACTGTTTAATTCCACTTTTTGAATGAAAATTGAAATATACATACCATTTGCTGCAGAATAAATAAAGCATGCACAAAATTTAAAGACTTTCAGGAACCACCCTTTATTTCAAAACGGACTGGTATAGATTACAGATTAATTTATTGAAAAAATGGATCGAAGAATGACTACATAATGCTCCAGTATTGTATGCGCACAAGAAGCCGATAAAAAAACCTGGCGTGCTAGATGGATAAAATATTTCTTTGGTGAGACAGAGGCACACGAGTACACCACAAAACCAATGATGTTGTAGCGCATACTGTTAACAGAATAACAAAAGAAGATTAAAGCTTCCCATTACATACCTGAAAGGTAAAACCTTTATTGTTTTTTAGTAATTTTCATTTGGTCTAATTTCTTATTAATTACATTATAAAATTTAAAGAAGCCCTTCCCAAAACGTGCAACCTGGTTATAATATCGTTCTTTAAGCAGCAGCGAAAAATGATTCGAAGATAACAGCATCCTGGCGCAATCTTTCGCAGTCAAATTGAAACCACTTGTCCAATTATTAGGACGAACCAGGAAAACATTATTAGGACGGGCCAGGAAATCAGTGCTGTTGGTCCCATTCAGTTCTACATTACAATAATCTCTTATTTGTAGCAAAAGTTTTTCATAGTACGCAAGTTCGGCCCAAAAATCTTTGTCTTGTCTTTTCTTCTCTGCTTCAAACTTAGCACGAAAGTGCTGATAGAGCTGATAATCTAGGGTACCCCAAGTTGCATGGAGCTTAGCAAGATCGTCCAGGGTTTTTTCACGAATTGGGAATTTGTAAGTGGCTTGAGCGTTCAATTTTAAATATATAATATCCTTTATATCCCAGCACAGTCGCCGGCGCAACATAACTATGCCGGCGTTTATCTCCTCGGTAAGCAAAACCAAGTTAAAATCAGAGTCAAGTGTTTTGATGTAGTCTATCCCAGATCCAATGTCGTCTTCTGCGTGCAGCTTAAATCCTAGATCTAGCATCATATTGTTTCTAAGTATATATCCGATACTGCGTAGATTAGCTTTATCTATACTCTGTGGAGCACTCTTCTCATTCAACACACTTCGTAAGAACAACAACATGGGGTCAGAACTTGTTTGGATGTTCAGTTTTCTGGCAAAGTTACTGTAACTAAAATGGGATTTGAACCTCGAAAATGGTTCTCGTATAATAGTTACATAAAAAGCATCATCTGGCATAGACGCACGTGCTATTTTCCCATCATACCTCCAGTGGTGCGCGATGACGTCATACTGCACCCTCTGGTCATGCTGATCCCACAGAAAACATCCGGGTATGGGCGCGTGACGCTGTTGTTTCATTGTCATTATGACGTTTATGTCGCCATCACACGAATCCAAGTGTGTGTCATCGACGGCTGGGAGGGCAACATGAAGATCATTTGCATAAGCAAACCTCAAAATAATATTGGAAACCGTGGTTGAGCCCGTCTTGTGTGTTTTCAGAAACATCACGTGCTTATTTGGCTTGCATGTGCGATGGTGTCTCGACACTGGGTGGATGTCCTGTTTTTTGTGGTGAGCAAACTTCTGAAAAGAAGTAATTGTGACAAATCAAGGGATACTTAAGGAGGGTTTACTTTCATTTCTGAGACTCATTGCAAGTAATTAATCGAGAAACTATTTTAACATACCACTGGATCCATGGTAAAAGTTTAAAGCCTACCAACTGGAATTTTTTGTGTCATATATCCTGCATTGTTTTCTAATCTTTACCAATTCAGGCCGTTAAGATAATTTAACATCTGACATAAAAATATCTGCTGTCTACATTTTCTTCTAAAATGTACAGGAGGAAATGGCGGCAGTCTAAATGACGGGCCAGTCAAAGAACTAAGCTATTTAGTTAACAGTGGAATAAACATCTAATCCAAGTCCGGGTTGGGATTGAGCAGTTATGCGCGAGGAGGAAAAACAACTTTTTTTTTTTCGAGGAAAATTTGATTGGAAGAAAAATCTTGGATAAGATAGCTTTAACTAAAGGTCGGTTGTAGTAGTCTTCATATGTTTTTTTTATCTTAAGAAGAATGTGAATCTTGCTGACTGAAATAGGTACCCAGTCATATGCATCACTAGAAGGGTTTTAAAAAGCTATCCGGTGATCAAAATTAATGTTATCGCCTACAACCAATTATCTAGTTTTACCGCTATTTGCAGTACTAAAATTGAATAAGGAACTTTATAATAATTAGTCTGGTAAAATTTTTCTAATTTCCATTTGTACGTGTAAATCCTACAGATGATCATTTAGCAGAATTTCTATATTGCCTAATGGACCTGTAAACATGTCTTCATTTCTGTATATCGGAAGGAATTGTCTCTTCATGGCGTCTCGTTTCTTGTTAGTAGGCTAAATTTTTCAGGGGTCACTAGCATGCATTTAGACACTTGTTACCTTATCTCGAATGGCGCAGCTTTTTGCATGGTGGACGAGAGAAGAGCTAGCAGTCACAGTTTTCACTAGTTCGTTCACAGACGCCTGTTTGGGTGGAGATTCGGAAGTTTTTAAAACAGCAGAGGTGGGTACCTCCTTGGTTTGACGATTGGTGCTGGTTTCAGCTGAGGAAATGATGGACTTGGCAGCCGCATGTTCCTTTTGCAGATTATCTTGATCAGGAGCGTCCGGCGTGGTTTTAAAAGGACTCGATATTTCAACCCCTTTTAGATTTACTTGCTCCTTGATCCCTCTCAGTGAGGCGCCCACGTCCTTGGCCATGTTGAGATTTAAACTGTTGTCATTGATAATGCTAAAGGTGAAATATAAAATGACAATAGCACAGACGGCTACAATCGATAGCAAGCACTCTCGGGCATTGCCAACAGTCCTTGAAACCATCTCGTAAGTCTTAACTAAGAATATTCGGGAATTTCCAAAACGATAATCTTGGGGATAACGTGTAGTCTGAAGGTTCCACAAATAGATTTCAGGCTGCTCGTTCCACTAGTGCTTGTATCACACGCTTTTGTCAACGCCGTCCAAAATTAAAAAATAGTTTTAAAGCATGTGACCTTTTTCCGGTAAAAGAAAAAGCATTCACTCGAATCTAATTGTTCGAACGTTTAGGTACGCTTAAAACCGTTTTCTCTTGAAGCGGACCCATGGTGTTTCCCTCTATGTCACGTCCAGAAATACAGTTTCTTGTGTACAAGACTTCCATGCGCATTTTTGGCACTAATTATTGTAAAAAGCACTTTTCATTTCAATCAAATGTGATCAAACACCTGGGACAAAAGTAAATAGGTCGAACCTTTCTTCAGCATTACTATGAAATCAGCTTATTGTACAATGCCCCTGGTTAAACACATGACATGCCTGCGGAAACATATAATCATATAATTATAAACGCTCAGTTTGCACACCTGAATACCGTTATGCACGCAGCATTAACGACGGCTGGTTCATGTTGAATTCCGGTGGTGGATGAGCAGTTTCAGTCCTTGCTATATAATGCATTCATAATTTCTCCATCTGTTTATTCATGTACAGAACGCTAGACCTTGGAAAAAACTGAAGAGAGAAATGTCATTTTTTATACTTAAGTCCTTAGTATCCCCTGATCATGGGTTTTTAAATAGTATACAAATTTGAAGTATGGGCCCAGGCCCGTAACCAGCAATTTCAAAAAGGGGTTCTTTTTTCTGAAAAAAGGGATTTTTTACATTGAAACCTTTGTGTACTTAGATCAAAATTTACCCAGTATGGACCTTTTCCTGATAAGAGGGCGTTCTTTCGAAACCCCCGACTCCCCCCCCCCCCGAAGGGCCTGGGGCCACACAATAATTTTATTAATGACGACTAGCACAGCCTGAGGTTAGAGGTAAGTTTTAGCACTGTGTCATATTTTCTCTAAACAAGCATGGTGCAATGTGTCTTGTTAGAGAAGATGGAAAGTGTCACAGTGAAAAAAAGTTAAGAACTTCATTGTATCAATTCAATAAATGTGTCTCTGTTACTAGTCATTTTTCTAGTTATTCAAAATTTTCGGCGTGCCCGTGTTTCTTCAAACCGACACATGGAGTTTCTCTATTTTACGTCCAGAAATGAAGCCTAGTGTGTACTAACTGAACACGCTTTGTTTAACACTAATTATTTAAAAAAAACTGTCAGTTTAACCAAGTTTGATCAAACACACGAGACTGTAGTAAATATGAGCATATTTCTTCAGCTTTACATTTTTATTAATATAATAGGACCGTTTTGCACGCAGCATAAAGGATGGCTCAAACAAAGATTGATTCATAGCAAATAAAGCGAACAAATATTTATAATCATTAGCTGTACTTATACATGCATAAAATTGAAAAAAAGTCTTCTACCACTACATCTTATTTTTAGATTGGCCGGTTAGGATAACGGGTAATAGGCCTATGAATTACCTTCCACCATCACAATATTGCATGTACGCAAGAAGCCAACCAGACCTTCGAGTTCGGGAGAAATAGGGGCCATTCAGAACGAAAAGACCCGAGTGATAGCTGGTCCTCTTTCACACCTCACCACGCATCGTCCCTGTAGGGGAACAGTAATTAAATCTCGGCTCAATTCGACCGGTCGAGGGACGACGCGTGGGGAGGCGTGTGAGAGGCATGGAGACCATTACAGGATTAATCGGTCTCCCTTTCATGTTGGACCGCTATATTTGGGCCGTGGACCAGCTAGCACTCGGCTCTTCTCATTCTGAATGGCCCCTATATAAAATCTATTTATGTCATAATGATGAGTCAGTTGCACCAAAATATACCTGAATACCAGTAAAGTTTTGTTCGCATGCTCATAACAAAATATCAAGAATAAATGTAAAGCTACCCCTTATAAACCTGTTAGATAGGGGGCCTACATGTGAAAAAACCTCATCACTATTTAGTAATCATCGTTATTTAGTGCTTGGTCTAATTTCTTAGTAATTGCATTATAAATTCTGAAGATGCCCGTCCCCAAACGTGCAACCTTGTTGTAATATCGTTCTTTAAGCAGCACTGAAAAATGATACGAAAATAACCGCATGCTTGCGCAATCTTTCGCAGTCAAATTGAAACCACTTGTCCAATTATTAGGACGGACCAGGAAAACATTATTAGGACGGGCCAAGAAATCAGTGCTGTCGGTCCCATTTAGTTCTTCATTACAATAATCTCTAATTTGTAGTAAGAGTTTTTCATAGTACGCAAGTTCGGCCCAAAAATCTTTGTCTTGTCTTTTCTTCTCTGCTTCAAACTTAGCACGAAAGTGCTGATAGAGCTGATAATCTAGGGTACCCCAATTTGCATGGAGCTTAGCAAGATCGTCCAGGGTTTTTTCACGGATTGGGGATTTGTAAGTCGTTTGGGCGTTCATTTTTAAATATATTATATCCTTTAAATCCCAGCACAGTCGCCGACGCAACAGGACCATGCCGGCGTTTATCTCCTCGGTAAGCAAAACCAAGTTAAAATCAGAGTCAAGTGTTTTGATGTAGTCTATCCCAGATGCAATGTCGTCTTCTGCGTGCAGCTTAAATCCTAGATCTCGCATCATATTGTTTCTAAGTATATATCTGATACTGCGTAGATAAGCTTTATCTATACTCCGTGGAGCACTCTTCTCATTTAACACACTTCGTAAGAACAACAACATGGGGTCAGAACTTGTTTGGATGTTCAGTTTTCTGGCAAAGTTACTGTAACTAAAATGGGATTTGAACCTCGAAAATGGTTCTCGTATAATAGTTACATAAAAAGCGTCATCTGGCATAGACGCACGTGCAATTTTCCTATCATACCTCCAGTGGTGCGCGATGACGTCATACTTCACCCTGTTGTCATGCTGATCCCACAGAAAACATCCGGGTATGGGCGCGTGATGTTCTTGTTGCATTATCTGTATGACGTTTTGGTCGCCATCACACGAATCCAAGTTTGTGTCATCAATGGCGGGGAGAGCAACATGAAGATCATTTGCATAAGCAAACCTCAAAATAGTATTGGAGACCGTGGTTGAGCCCGTCTTGTGTGTTTTCAGAAACATCACGTGCTTATTTGGCTTGCATGTGCGATGAAGTCTCGACACTTGGTCGGGACCGGTGGATGTCCTGTTTTTTGTGGTGAGCAAACTTCTGAAAAGAAGTAATTGTGACAAATCAAGGGATACTTAAGCAGGGTTTACTTTCATTTCTGAGACTCATTGCAAGTAATTAAATCGAGAAACTATTTTAACAAACCACTGGATCCATGGTAAAAGTTTAAAGCCTGCCAACTGGAATTTTTGTGTCATATATCCTGCATTGTTTTCTAATCTTTACCAATTCAGGCCGTTAAGATAATTTAACATCTGACATAAAAATATCTGCTGTCTACATTTTCTTCTAAAATGTACAGGAGGACATGGCGGCAGTCTTAATGACAGGCCAGTCAAAGAACTAAGCTATTTAGTTAACAGTGGAATAAACATCTAATCCAAGTGCAGACTGGGATTGAGCAGTTATGGGTGAGGAGGAAAAACAACTTTTTTTTCGAGGAAAATTTTATTGGAAGAAAAATCTTGGATAAGGTAACTTTAACTATAGATCGGTTGTAGTAGTCTTCCTATGTTTTTTTTAAAGACTGTGAATCTTGCTGACTGAAATAGGTACCCAGTCATATGCATCACTAGAAGGGTATTAAAAAGCTTTCCGGTGACCAAAATTAATGTTAACGCCTACAACCGATTATCTAGGTTTACTGCTATTTGCAGTACTAAAATTGAACTAGGAACTTCTTAATAATTAATCTGGTAAAATTTTCCTAATTTTCATTTGTACGTGTAAATCCTACAGATCATTTAGCAGAATTACTATATTGCTTAATGGAAACGTGTTCATATTTGTATATCGAAAGGAAATGAATTGTCTCTTCATGACGTCTCGTTTCTTGTTAGAATATGTGAAATGCAAAGTTGTCTAAATTTTTCAGGGGTCACTAGCATTTACACACTTTTTACCTTATCTCGAATGGCGCAGCTTTTAACACGGTGGACGAGAGGAGACGTACAGAGCCAGCAGTCACAGTTTTCACTAGTTCGTTCTCAGACGCCTGTTTGGGTGGAGATTCGGAAGTTTTTAAAACAGCAGAGGTGGGTACCTCCTTGGTTTGACGATTGGTGCTGGTTTCAGCTGAGGAAATGATGGACTTGGCAGCCTCTTGTTCCTTTTGTAGATTATCTTGATCAGGAGCGTCCGGCGTGGTTTTAAAAGGACTCGATATTTCAACCCCTTTTAGATTTACTTCCGCCTCGATCCCTCTCAGTGAGGCGCCCACGTCCTTGGCCATGTTGAGATTGAAACAGTTTTCATTGACAATGCTGAAGGTGAAATATACCACGACAAAAGCACAGACGGCTACAATCGATAGCAAGCACCCTCGGGCATTGCCAACAGTCTTTGAAACCATCTCGTAAGTCTTAACTAATAACATTCGGGAATTTCCAAAACGATAATCTTGGGGATTACGTGTAGTCTGAAGGTACCACAAAAAGATTTCAAGCTGCTCGTTCCACTAGTGCTTGTATCACACGCTTTTGTCAACGCCTTCCAAATTTAAAAGATAGTTTTAAAGCATGTGACCTTTTCTCCGGTAAAAAGAAAAAGTATTCACTCGAATCTAATTGTTCAAATATTTAGGTACGCTTAAAACCGTTTTCTCTTGAAGCGGACCCATGGTGTTTCCCGCTAAATCACGTCCTGAAATACAGTTTCTTGTGTACAAGACTTACACGCGCATTTTTGGCACTAATTATTGTAAAAAGCACTTTTCATTTCAACCAAATGTGATCAAACACCTGGGACAAAAGTAAATAAGTCGTACCTTTCTTCAGCATTACTATGAAATCAGCTTATTGTACAATGCCCCTGGTTAAACACATGACACGCCTGCGGAAACATATAAACGCTCAGTTTGCACACCTGAATGCCGTGATGCACGCAGCATTAACGACGGCTCAAACAAAGACTGGTTCATGTTAAATTCCGGTGGTGGATGAGCAGTTTCAGTCCTTGCTATATAATGCATTCATAATATCTCCCTCTGTTTATTTATGTACAGACCGCTAGACCCTTGAAAAAGCTGGAGAGAGAAGTGTCATTTTTTGTACCTAAGTCCTTAGTACCCCCTGATCATGTTTTTTTTAATAGCATACAAATTTGAAGTATGGGCCCAGGCCCGTAACCAGCAATTTCAAAAGAGGGTTCTTTTTCTGAAAAAGGGAACTTTTTTATATTGAAACATTTGTGTACTTAGATCAAAATTTACCCAGAATGGACCTTTTCCTGACAGGAAGGCGTTTTTTCGAACCCCCCGACACCTCCCTACCCCCCCCCCCCTTCCCGGCGAAGGGCCTAGGGCCCTACAATAATTTTATTAATGACGACTAGCACAGCCTGGGGTCAGAGGTAAGTTTTAGCACTGTGTCATATTTTCTCTGAACAAGCATGGTGCACTGTGTCTTGTTAGAGAAGATGGTGGGGTGGCACAGTGAAAAAAGTTAAGAACTTCAATGTGTCAATTCAATAAATTTGTCTCTGTTACAAGTCATTTTTCTAGTTATTCATAATTTTCGGCACGCCCGTGTTTCTTCAAGCCGACACACGGAGTTTCTCTATTTTACGTTCAGAAATGAAGCCCTTGAGTACTAAATAAACACGCTTTGTTTAACACTAATTATTGTAAAAAAAATGTCAGTTTAACCAAGTTTGATAAAACACATGAGACAGTTGTAAATAAGTCGACCATATCTTCAGCTTTACATTTTTATCAATATAATAGCATCATAATGAACGCAGCATATAGGATGGCTCAAACAAAGATTGATTCATAGCAAATAAAGCGAACAAATAAGTATAATCATTAGCTGTACTTATACATGCATAAAATTGAAAAAAAAAAGTTTTCAACCACTATTTCTTATTTTTAAATTGGCTGGTTAGGATTACGGATAATTGGCCTATGAATTACTTCCCACCATCACAATATTGCATGTACGCAAGAAGCCGACCAGACCCTCGAGTGCAGGAGACATGGCGGCCATTCAGAATGAGAAGAGCCGAGATGTTAGGATACCTCTTTCAGACCTCACCACGCATCGTCCCTGCAGGGGCAAAGTAATTATATCTCATTTTAACTTCTTGATTCGACCGGGCGGTGGACGACGCGTGGAGAGGCGTGTGAGAGGCGGTCAGGATTAAGCGGTCTCCCTTTCATGTAGGTCTGCCATATTTGGGCAGTGGACCAGCTACATGTAGTAATCGGCTCTTCTCATTCTGAATGGCCCCTATATAAAATATCTATTTATGTCATAATTATGAGGCAGTGGTCCCTGAATATACCTGAATCCCAGTAAAGTTGTGTTTGCATGCTCTTAACAAAATATCAAGAATAAATGTAAAGGCACCCCTTATAAACCTGTTAGATACATGTAAAAAAACCTCATCACAATTTAGTAATCATCGCTATTTAGTAATCTTTGTTTGGTCTAATTTCTTATTAATTGCATTATAAATTCTAAAGATGCCCGTCCCCAAACGTGCAACCTTGTTGTAATATCGTTCTTTAAGCAGCACTGAAAAATGATGCGAAAATAACCGCATGTTGGCGCAATCTTTCGCAGTCATATTGAAACCACTTGTCCAATTATTAGGACGGACCAGGAAAACCATGAAATCAGCGCTGTCGGTCCCATTCAGTTTTACATTACAATAATCTCTTATTTGTAGCAAGAGTTTTTCATAGTACGCAAGTTCGGCCCAAAAATCTTTGTCTTGTCTTTTTTTCTCTGCTTCAAACTTAGCACGAAAGTGCTGATAGAGCTGATAATCTAGGGTACCCCAAGTTGCATGGAGCTTAGCAAGATCGTCCAGGGTTTTTTCACGAATTGGGGATTTGTAAGTCGTTTGGGCGTTCATTTTTAAATATATTATATCCTTTAAATCCCAGCACAGTCGCCGACGCAACAGGACCATGCCGGCGTTTATCTCTTCGGTAAGCAAAACCAAGTTAAAATCAGAGTCAAGTGTTTTGATGTAGTCTATCCCAGAAGTAATGTTGTCTTCCGCGTGCAGCTTAAACCCTAGATCTCGCATCATATTGTTTCTTAACTTATTTGCGATGCTGCGTAGAGCAGTTTTATCTATTCTATGTGTAGCACTCTTCTCATTCAACACACTACGTAAAAACAGCATCATGGGGTCAGAACTTGTTTGAATGTTCAATTTTCTGGCGTAGTCACCGTAACTAAAAGAGGATTTGAACCTCGAAAATGGTTCTCGTATAATCGTTACATAAAAAGCATCATCTGGCATAGACGCACGTGCTATTTTCCTATCATATCTCCAGTGGTGCGCGATGACGTCATACTTCACCCTGTTGTCATGATGATCCCACAAGAAACATCCGGGTATGTTTGCGTGAAGTCGTAGTTTCATATTCTCGATGACTTTGTGGTCACCATCACACGAATGCAAGGCTGTGTCATCGACGGCTGGGAGGGCAACATGAAGATCATTTGCATAAGCAAACCTCAAAATAATATTGGAAACCGTGGTTGACCCCGTCTTGTGTGTTTTCAGAAACATCACGTGTTTATTTGGCTTGCATGTGCGATGGTGTTTCAACACTGGGGTGGGCGGGGAGGAGGTACTGCTAGAAAGATATAAGTGGGAAAAATCGAGTGATACTTTAAGAGGGTTAGCTTTCATTTCATGCACTATTAAATTGAGAAACTACTTGAACAAAACCCATCACTAGGGTGACTGTTAAAAAGCTACACGGAAACGAAAGTCACAATTTATGTAATTACCGTTTTTACCTCTATGTGCAGTATATTATTGAAAAAACTATATGGATTGTAAAAAAAGAAGAAAAAATTAGTGTAAGCATCAGAATTTTATGGACAGAAATTATAACACAGCACAATGCACATGCCAACACATATGTTTTGTATGTCGAAAAATTAACGAATCATCTCTTTCTTGTCAGAATATGTAAATGAAAAGTGTGAAGTGGACACTAGTATTAAAACACCATTTACCTTATCCTCAATGAAGCAGCTGTGGGCACGGTGGACGATAGAAGACGCACAGAGTTGGCAGTCACAGTTTTCACTAGTTCGTTCTCAGGCGCCTGCTCAGGTGGAGTTTCGGAAGTCGTAAAAACCGTTGCCTCCTTGGTTTGAGAATTGGTGGTAGTTTCGCGGTTTTCAGTTGTGGAAATGATTAACTCTGTGGACGCTTGTTCCTTTTGCAGATTACTTTGACTAGGAGCGTCCGACTCGGTTTTAAGTGGACCCTCATCGGTGTTTTTATCATCGGGGAGGCCTCCGAGAAAAGCTTCAAAACCAACATCGAAGCTGTTATTGTCCTCATAGGAGTTTTTAGAGACTGTTTCAGATCCTGAATCGTTCCAGGTATCTTCGATATCTCCCTGTTGATCATCGGGTATCGATCTTTCAAAATCTTCTTTATTTCTTCGCGCCATGAGCCCTCTCAATGAGGCGCCCACGCCCTGGTCCATGTTTAGACTTAAACCGGCATTGACGGCACTGCTGAAGGTAAAAAAGGCCACTACAATAGCACAGACGGCTACAACTGTTAACAAGCATCCGCGTATAATGAATGTAATTCTGGGAGCCATCACGTAAACTTAGAACAAAATATATATTCGGGATGATGGCTTTTATAATATGTAGTCAGAAGTCTTCCAAATTGGCTATGAAACTGTTTGTGCCTCCAGTGCTTGTATCACACGCTGTGGTGAACACCGTTCAAAGTGAAAATATTGAATTAAGGCATGTGAACTTTGTCTATTTCCAAAAGAAAGAAAATGTTTTCACTCCTATCCAGCCGTTGGTATTTCTCGACACGCTTAAATCCCGTCCCGCTTGATAAAAGGGACGCACGAGTTTTCTCACATTTAAGTCGAGGTATTATAAGACTCTCGAGTACAAAAGGGCATACGTTTATGTTTGGCACTAGTTGTTTTAAAAAAGCACTTTTCGGTAATTTAAACCAACTTGGTCAAACGCCTGAACAAATAGTGCGATGATCGCACATTGTTTCAGCTTTACAAAGTATCAATACAGGACAGCTGGATAATGCATCCTGAATAAACTTAATAAGACGGCTACTCCCTCTCCTACTAGTATATGCAGCGTGGAAATATTGAAACTCTAATTAGTTAGCACACCTGTATAACATAATACACAGTTAGCACACCTGTATAACATAATACACAGTTAGCACACCTGTATAACATAATACACTTAGCATTTAGAGCAGTTCAAACAAAAACAGTTTCGTGTTTAATTCAGGTGGTGGGCAAGTAATTTCAACCACTTTTCTATATACATTCCATTAATAATATCTACCTCTGTTTATTAAAAGGGCCCATTCCCATTGAAACTATCGATCTACATTTATGGATTCAACTCCGCGGGGACTCAAGCTGAATGCAATCATTTTAACATATTAAAATGCCTCCTCTTGTCTCCAATTAACGCACTTTTCTGAATTTTACTCAACGCCAGGAGGCGAGCAAAGAAATATTTAAGAAATATCTAAGGTCGAAAGAGGTACACAGATGAGACTGATCTACACGAAGAAGAGCAGGGGCGGATCCAGGATTATTTGAAGAGGGGGGAAGGGTCCTTGGCGTGCGCCCCCCCCCCCTCAAATTTTGTTATTTTAGAAGAGAGGCGGTGACATTTGATTAACCTTGTCAAAATTCTAATTTCAATAGGGGCCATTGGTGCAGTGATTTTTTTTCGAAAATCGAATGGGGGGGGGGGGGGGTCAGGACTACCCCTAACCACCACCACCCTAAACCCGCCACTGAAGAGGACCACATATTCGAAGCATAGGGAGTGAAAGTGATTATGACCTACAGGTTGAACATCAAGAAAGGCTGCAACATCTTTGTAACCAAAGAGGGTGACATTTGTCAAATTAGGCGAAGACCTAGGGGAACTAGGCTGCTTAGGGGGCGACACAGGGGACGTGGGCAATAAGCAGGCCTAATGTACTGTAGGCCTACATCCGGTAGAATATGTTGCAGGAAATGTGGTATGATTAGGGTAAAATGACTAATAAACGTTGCATTTAGACCTTTCAAATAAAACAGGATTTATTTTATAAATAACCCCAGCCCGAACGTATAAATATAACTTAATTGGATAAAAATACCAAATCTTTTTAAAATATAGGCCTATCGGTAATAATATCCAGTGCAGAAAATAAATAAATAAATAAATAAATAAATAAATAAATAAATAAATGAATAGATAAAATAAAAGCTAAAATAGATTTAAACAAGGAAAAATATGAAAAAAAAAATCCCAGATATCTACCTCAGGGCACAGAGATGAACGCCAAAAACGAGAAATATTTTAATTAAAAAAGCCCATTAGGTCTCCAATATAGCCTGGATCAGGTGCGGATTTAGGGCGTCTTCTGGGTCTTCCGGAAGACGGTCAGATTTTCACATTTACACGGACGGGTATCTAATTTTACTCTAGCTGTTGGAAGACGGTCAGAAATGGAGGATGGATAAACAAAGATGATTTGGAAGACTGTCAGAAAAAAATTCTAGATCCGCCCCTATGGATTGTCTAAAAATTTGTTGTATACTATGGAGACTTTCGATAAACATAAAAAACCCAAGTTGTCATTTTCAACAGCAAGGGAAAAATCACAGACGGCACCACTCAAAGCAAACATAAATTTAACATTGGCGGTAAACTACTCACTATCTCGTCTAGTTGCAACTACCTAGGAATTCTTTTCACTAGATCCGGCAAATTCACTGCAGCTCAAACAAGATTTAAAGAAAAAGCACAAAAAGCCTTTTTTGCACTAAAAAGTTACTTCCCTCTAACCAGCCTTATTAAATCATCCCTCAAGGAAAAAAATATTCGATACAATCATAATGCCAATTGCAACGTACGGATCAGAGGTCTGGGGATAAACCCCTCTCACAGACAGATCTCCATCGGAAAAGCTAAATCTCAGTTTTTGTAAACAAATTTTAGGTGTTCACCCAAAAACTTCAAACCACCCAGTAAGAGGAGAGACTTGAAGAATTCCTGTTTACATAAAAATTAACATACAATTAATGAAATTTTGGCTCAAAACAACCTACTCAAACAAGCATACCTAGATGAATTACATTATTACAATTTGCTCTCAACAAAAAGCCTGTCAAATCTGAATGATGATAACCTCTCATGGAGTGAAGGTATTATGAAACTCTTGTTTGAAAACGGATTTGGAGATGTAGGCCTATGGCTAAAACAGGATCCTAACATAAACTTCCTAAGTAGGCCTATATTCAGAGAACGCATCATCAGTGGGTAGGCCTACATACAAAACTGGCACAGTGAGCTTGAGGACAAAGCCAAATCCAGAGTAGGCCTATATTGCCAATTTAAAAATACATTTAAAAAAGAAAAATATCTAGACCTTCTCCATGATACTGATAATACAAAAAAACCTAAGCCGTTTTCGCACCAGTGGGCATAAACTTCACATTGAAACAGGCAGATAGGCACTAACATTCCTCGGACCGACAGAATATGCCATTACTGTTCTAAACAAATTGAAGATGAAAAACACTTTCTCACAACATGCCCCCTATACAACGACCTGCAAACAATATTATATAAGGTATTTACAAAACACTATACACACTTTGGCCTAAAAACAACTGATGAAAAATTTACTATAATTATGAAATGTCAAGAACAAGAAACCCTTATTGCACTAGCTCAGTTACTCTCCTCCGCTTTTGCTAGGGGGGATCTAGAAGACAGTGCTGCACTCATCGGCAATTGAGAAATAGTAGGCCTAATAGTTTTTTTTTAGTTAATAAGTAAATAGTCTTACTCATTGTGATTGTTTAATAGCATATTCACAAAAATTGTATTCATATTCAGTGTTTGACCTTCGTTTGAAATAGTACAGGCCAATTTGGCCAGTGTGCTCTGAAAGTTACTGGCCAAACCGAAAATGCACAAGCCAGACTTTGGCCAGCTTTATTACGAAGTTACTGGCCAAATATTCAAAGTGCAGGCCATGTGGTAATGACTCATGATGGAGATGTTATCATAAGCAAATAAAGAAAAAAAATTTAAAACCTTTTTTAAACCTAGAACTGTGTTTATTCTTTAGTCTACAGATTTCGCACATTCTAATCTAAATTAAACATAAACTATATGCATATTTATTTACCCCACTTTACCTAGAGATACTTTGATTAGATTTTTAATAAAATTTTCTGTACTTATATTTCTAAAATTTTCTGAACTTGTACTCCGTGAACATAATTTGTTTAATGAAATTTATATTTTGTATCTTTAAGTTGCATCATCACACCAAGAAATATTCATACAATAGATGCAAGGATTTAAGCTTCATGCTCTTTACTATATATTTGTACATAAATATATATATTTTTTGGGGGAATCGGCCGGGGTGAAATTGTCCTGATACCGATGAAGAGATAAAAGTCAGTATAAAGATCAATTTTGTCTTAAAAACTGCTCCACATCCTTCTCAGTCATTTCATTGNTATTGTCATTTTCATCCACACAAGTGGATGCATATGTTACAGTGAAATAAACTAATTACTATTTTAATTAAAAACTATTAATTCAAAAGAAGGAAGATTTTAGAGGGTAGCTTAGCGATGACAATCCCATACATACATACATACAGTACAAAAATGTATAGAACTAGCCAGAGGCACATATGTGAACATAAAGTGAAAAGTCTGCGACAGAGTAATTTGACGTTTGTCACGCTTGGAGACATCGACCGTCTTTTGTCTCCCATAATGCAACGGGGTCGTTTTAGAGACTTTATTTCCGGCTGCGCACGTGATGTAGATTGCAAACGGAGAGGCGGGACAGTGATAGAGTTTTCCAAATGGTGAGTAAATGTCAGAGATTGTGTAGTTATCAATCAATGCCACAAATCACCACGAAAACGCCAGCTCGATGGAGTTTTCGAATTTGAATATGCAAATCGATTTGCTCCGACTTTTTGTTTATGTTGTTGTCGGCGTCTTCTCACGCCCCCCGTTGTAAATATCCTACTAGTTCTGATTCAATTCAGTCAGTGGCTAAATTTAGCTTTAGTAAGATGTGGTCTCCCGTTTGGAAATATTAAAACAACAGCAGCTGATCGACGGGAGTAGGAATCCTTGGGCACGATGTAGAAGCGTAGACGTGGAGCCTAGCTATACGTGTATCTTGTATTGATTAAATATGCTAGTTGTCCTGCATGTTTTGATTACGCATCATGCAGTTATGATGTTTACGATAGATCCCGAGTAGGAAGTGTCATGTTAAAGTTCTTGGCATGATACTGACTCATCTGACTAAATCTGTCTCTCTCTATAGCAATATGCATCATAATTCAATGAACCATGATGTTTTCGTTTGAATGCATGTACGTGTAAGCAGGGTTACTTGTAACATTTCTTCATTCAGCATCTCTTCTTGAATTCCAAATTCCCAATGGATTACAATAATAATAATAATAATAATAATAATAATAATAATAATAATAATTATTATTATTATAGCAGCCAAATTTCAAACCAGTTTCAACCTATTTCTTTGCAGGATCTCATACTTTAAATCTTTGACAACTACAGGATAGGCATCATATTTTAAAATTGCTATGTTAATTGCATATACACATGTAGTTATAGATATATCATACATACTTCAAAGAGTTTTGATTACGTCCCCTCCTACAAAATACAAAATTTATTAGTTTTAACATTATTCAGTCTATATATTTATGTTTATTTCAAGGATTCCCCCTCAGAGAATGGAATCTCTGATGACCACAATGGCGAGGCAGATAGTTCGGACACTCCGTCCACACCAGGGAAGTCTTTTGAACCAGCCTTCACAGTCAAAGTGACGGAAGCTGTGAAAAATGGAGATGCGGTTTTGTATACTGTCTGTAGTAAGGAGGTAACTGAATCATTGATGTAGCATTTTGATTCATTATCAGTGGATTTCTGACTTTCTGGGAGCCTAAAATAGCATTGGTCTAGGCCGTACCACACACCATATTTTCAGACTTTTTCACTACGTGAAAGACTCATTCCTGAGTAAGTATGACACATTTCACATGAATATGTCTTCTTGTTGTAGGTAACAGGAGACACCCCAGAAGTGACAGTCTCACGGCAGTTTGAAGATTTTGAATGGCTTCAACATTGTCTTATGATTAAAGATAATGTGGCTGGAGTTATAGTGAGTAGGACATCTAGTAGATTGATTTAACAACAGAAATTTTGAAATTATTAATTATAGTGAGATTCTTTTTCTTATAGATGCTGCATGAAAGAGGTTAGATAATGATGATGATGATGATGATTGAAATCATGAATTATAAAATTCTGGATGTGTAAGTGTGTGTGTGTGTGTGTGTGTGTGTGTGTGTGTGGGTAGTGTGTGTGTGTGTGTNTGTTGATGATTTAACACAGTCACATGGTTGCCGATCACTCTCATTATGCACTTCTTAAAAATTGATACATTTCAAGTCTAAAACACATGATTTATCATTGTTTGCCTTTTTATTTCTTATCAGTTTCCACCTCTGCCCCCAAAGCCTATCGTAGATTCTAAATCTGCAGAAAAACAGACAAAGAAGCAGTTAGGAAAGGATGCCAAGGTCCTAATGGGGGACACGTTTGTCAAGGACTGCAGGAGTATAGAAAAGTATAAAAAAGGATTTATTGCTTTCAGATACAAAATTTATTTGATAAGTATTAATTTTGTATTATTACAGTTTCATAGATTAAAAATGTAATCAAAACTCTTTTAGATATAGCAAAATTTCAGTTATTTTGTTGGCACTTTGGATACAATTATGTGATAGATATTCATCAATTTTAAAAGTAGTGCAATTGATGTACATAATCTGATTAAGAGAATGAAAAAGAAATACCTGAGTTTTCTACAAACATATTCATTAATTTTACTTGAAATATCTCATTTGGCAAGTTAATCATATAATGATATGTTCAGTAAAGGAAAGGGATAACTGTCAAACAGAGTATGTAATTGGCACTCAAGGTTTTATCTAATCTCTTGCAGATATTTAAAACTTGTCGTCAATCACCCAGAGCTGGGGTCTGATAATACGCTACGGAAATTCCTCACTGAAGAAGAGGTAAAGGACCTGATTTCATTTCAGTGATCATTTATAGTTAAATTTTTATGTTACAAAATGCAGTCAACATATTACTATTGTGTAATCTTTATGTATTAGTAATGGATGTGTAAATTTTAACCTCAAAAATACCCTTAAAAATTGCAAGGAAAAAAATTGAACTGCTTTGACAAAATTATAAAAAATAAAGCTCTAAAAAGATTTTCTAGAGAGGAAAAGTTCACCAAGAGAAAAGATGTTTGTTTTGAATGTGCAGACATATTGTGTAATTACTGGTACATGTGTTATCCAGGCCTATGTGTAAAGTACAATTATGCATTATTATATAATCCAGGCACATGTGTAATGTACAGTTACATGTGTAATAATATAATCCAGGCACAGTTACATTTATGCGTTATTATATAATCCAGGCACGTATAATGTACAGTTATATGTGTAACAATATAATCCAGGCGCAGTTACATTTATGCGTTATTATATAATCCAGGCACGTGTAATGTACAGTTATATGTGTAACAATATAATCTAGGCACATGTATAATGTACAGTTACATGTGTAATAATATAATCCAGGCACATGTATAATGTACAGTTACATGTGTAATAATATAATCCAGGCACATGTATAATGTACAGTTACATGTGTAATAATATAATCCAGGCATATGTGTAATGTACAGTTACACGTGTAATTATATAATCCAGGCACGTGTAATGTACAGTTACATGTGTAATAATATAATCCAGGCATGTGTAATGTACAGTTACATGTGTAATAATATAATCCAGCCACGTGTAATGTACAGTTACATGTGTAATTATATAATCCAGGCACGTGTAATGTACAGTTTCATGTGTAATAATATAATCCAGGCATATGTGTAATGTACAGTTATATATGTAATAATATAATCCAGGCATATGTGTAATGTACAGTTATATGTGTAATAATATAATCCAGGCCCATGTAATGTACAGTTATATGTGTAATAATATAATCCAGGCACAGATGTAATGTACAGTTATATGTGTAATAATATAATCCAGGCCCATGTAATGTACAGTTATATGTGTAATAATATAATCCAGGCACAGATGTAATGTACAGTTATATGTGTAATAATATAATCCAGGCTCCAGTGAGAACAAAGGTCAAACAGGGTCTCCTTACCAAACTAAGCTCTGCCGTGTCTAGGAAGGACAGTAAGAAGGTCAGCTGTCAATTATATATAGGAGCACTAATACAGGGGCGGATCCAGGGATATTTTCTGACAGTCTTCCAAATTATCTTTGTTAATCCATCATCCATTTTTGACCAACAGAAAACATTAGATACCTGTCAATGTAAACTTAAAAATCTGACCGTCTTCCGGAAGACCCAGAAGACGGCCTAAATCCGCCCCCGTAATAAATAATTTAAATTTATGTTTGACTTATTGATTGAACAAGTAGAGAAACAAAGAATTCTGATTATAAGTAGAAATAAGTAAAACAAAGTGGAATGATCTTTGATCAACAAGTTGTGATCTTTGCAACATCAGTGGCAAGGAATGAAAGTATCATATGTATGGCAGTTTCCCATTTTTGCTGTTCTAGGTAATACATATTTGATTTCTTCATATTTTCAGGATATAGAGGAATATTTCCAGAAAGAAAGGGACTGGGTCAATGACTATGCAGTCCTGATCAAGGAAATGTCATCAGTGAGTGAAAATATTCAACTTTGGCAATTAACTGCATTTTTTGGAGGAATTTTCTGCAAAATTGTTATTTTTTGGCATGTGTTAGTTGAGTTTTTCAAGTAATTGTAGTGAGAGTTTTCAAACACCTTATTTTCATAAAGTACAGCTGATTCCAAAGTAATTTTTTGTGCCAGTGCAGAACATTTTCCCTTATAACACTGGTCTGAGTATCAGCACTGCCAGAAGTTCTCTCTCACAATAAAATTTAGTAGCAAAAAAAAAAAAAAAAAAATAGCCATAGCTGCATAATAACTTTATTTTGAGTTGTTGAATTATTGTTAGGTGCTCTCATGTTAAGGTATTGTTTTGTCATTTGTACTTTTTGCTTGTTTTTAGGCTTTTAACAAAGTTGTATATGCAGAGCAAAGTAAGTCCTCAGTATTTTTATAATTACCGTTCATGCAGTGTTTGTCTTAAGATATTTACACCTCTTTGTTTCCCATGTAAATGAATAAAAAAAAAAAGAAATTAAACACAAGTAAACCTTGGTTTAATCCTGATTAATGGATTTGCATGTGGGATGGAGAGGGGGGAGGGCAGTATTGTATGACACAGGTATATTTCTACTTGGCAAATTTTATTCTAACCCTGTGAAACCAACGTATGTGATTACTGAAGGTATTGCCCACTTTCTGAACATGAATTTAACACCGTCACTTCTCTGCAAAGCACAAACCAAATACTACAGGTGTGCTGGAACTGTCACATCTACTGCAATATCAGATCCACCACAGCACACAAACATTGCTTTACATCTTACAAATATATTAGGCCTTCTTCCACTGGTGATGCAATTGTTGTGTACCATGCATCCAGAACACCACAGTTGTGACTGAAGTGATGCCACATGCTTGTAATATATATATATATATATATATATATATATATATATATATAGAGAGAGAGAGAGAGAGAGAGAGAGAGAGAGAGAGAGAGAGAGAGAGAGAGAGAGAGAGAGGGGGGGGGAGAGATTAATGTACTGAGTATAAGGGGCCATTCAGGATGGGTTCGGTCGCAATAGCTGTGCACTTACTTCAAGGGAACACTGGCTGAATGAAATCAGAATTACACACTGAGAGGCCTATCACTTAGTAAAATACAGAAAAGCTGATGACTACACAAGTACATTGGAAACAAGAGGAGGCATGTTAATCTGTTAATCCAGTTGCATTCAGTAGAGTTAATGTGCAGTAGTTATTGCAATCAACCCATTCTGAACATCCCCAGGTTAAATTGAAAATTTGTTTAAGGCCTTAGTCAGAATAGGGGACTAACTAGTCCAAGGGTCAAATATGGCAACCCACTACAAAGCTTGTCGTCTAATTCGCTAATAGACACTGAATAGATAGAATAGATATTCCGTGGGGAAGAATTCAGGTGGGTCAGCCATATTTGACCCGCGGACTAGTAAGTCCCCGATTCTGAATGGGGCCTAAGTGAGGCATGTGAAATTTCTGAAGCTGTCATTCTATACGTATCATATATCATACATCTAAATGTTAATGTAGTAGGTGGATTAATTTGCACTGTCAGTCATCCTGATATGAGGCATGTGGCATACTTATTAAAAATAAGATAAATGTAGAAATTTGGACCTGGTAATGATGTCAAAACATGCATTTAGAGTTGAGTAAGTGCATTATTAGATTTAATAAATCATAATTTTTTTTCCTTTGTAATGCCTTTTATGTGAAACCTGATCAGACCAAACATATATTGTTGACACATCCAGTTTTTTTCATGGGTTTTTCCTTGCAGATGAACTTAAATATAAATGTTATATTTATTTCTAGGGTTATCAGTTGCACATTCCCATTTATCAGCCTCATTGAACTCCGGAGGGGCTGAGAGAGATGACGACAGCACTGAACTCAGCAAGTAAGCCTTGCTGTATTTAGTTTTTGTATGTGCTGGGGTTATTTCGATACCGATAGCTGTTTGAATTGTTAGAGGGGCACATGGTGTCTTGCCCTGTATATGTTAGATGCAGAAGCTAAGGGGCTGATTGCCCCCCCCCCTCGCAGTGTTTTTGCACAATACTTAACAGTTTTTGTGCCATAGAAATCATATGAAGTATAAAATATACACAGGACATTGGAGTATTATATATTACTCTAGTATAACAAAGTAGTCAGTAATGAGGTTATGCCAGGGGGACTTCAATCTGATCCCTATTTTTCAACCTTATCAGAAATGGTAATTTTAGTATGGAGGGTGGGAATAAGTTCACTTTATTGATAGTTTTTATTAAACACTGGACAGTAATACACATAATATTTACATATATTTCAATTTTACATAAAACTTGAAGTCGAAGCACAGTAGCCATAATATACCCTGTCTTTGATTTTTTCTGTAATGATTTCAGAAGTCTAGTCAAGTTTTCAGAAGCAATTGAAGATATGAAGGTAAAATGAAAAGAAGTAATCAACTGTATTGAAATGTGTCACTAGTGTATATTATAGAGAAAAAAGGCAATCATGAATCATTAGATTACAGGCAGAAAACTGCACAGATATTTGAATTTAAACTTTCCAGTTTCATACTTTTTGTCAGAGAGAAAATGTGGGATAAGTCTTAGCTAAATCCAGTGGTGTATACATTTGGCAGTAAAGATTATTCTTACTTTTGATTAGCAAATTTGAGAATAATATTTAGTTAGGATAACAGTTTCTCATTAAAAAAAAAAATAAATAAATAAATAGTTATTTGCACTCCAATATTTTAGTATTTCTCAGTCATCTGTTGCTTTAGAGAAGTTATTATAATTGTAACTGAGTGTGTGGCACTACTGATGAATTTCTTTACTGAACCTACATTATCTTTTCAGCATAGCTTGGATGTAGACATTATCAATAATGGAAGAACACTGGGGTTTCAGTTGGAGCTATATGCAAGATTTCTGCAGTCTGCTAAGGTATACCCACTAAACATTTACTTAAAGAAATTGAGAGTCTTTTAGGATGAACAATCTTTGTGATTGTCTATCCGTGTGGCAAACTGTATCTCTGTTTTTTTTTCTCACTTTAATAATTTAAATATGTATCTGTATAGATCAAGTAAAAGTACACTATATGCGTGAAAATGCCCAAATTTTTGGCAGGTTCACCTTCTTAAGGAAGTGTTGAAAAAATAAACTCCTATGACATGTGATGTAAAAGTGAAAAGTGCATGCTTTTTCCTAATGAAATTGTCCTTGTTAGCATATTCAGTGAACAAATGTACCTAATGTCTTTGAAGATTTATGCATTTTTAAATGATTTGTAAAGCTCAATATAATCTGCATTTAGTCAAAGTAGCAGCTGTTTGCTTGCTAGGGACATAAATATTTTAACTATGAAGGAAATTTATATGCTTGATAATTGTTATGATTTGGCTTTCTCTTAATGCAAGTAGACTCCTATTATGTAGTTAAATAAGTACATATTTTCATGTAGTCATGTAAGCTGTCAATAACATCATGGCAGTTTTCGTGTGTGAAAGCGATTTATGAATAATAGTGGCTTAAAGGGAAAAAACAGTGCCATCACAGTATATATTATTGAGTAGAGTTCCTGTCTGTTTTGATATTGATATTGAAATGCAGTCAGATGTATTTATGATTATTTTCCAATGACTTCAAGATATTTTTATGGTTGTAGGACATGCTGCACCAAAGAACCAGTCTTCTCATTCAGTATGAGGACGCCAACAGAGCTTTTGACAAGGCCAAGCCTCAGAAAAAAGATGCAGTAAGTTTACACTTAGAGGATTACCCTCACCCCCCCTCCCCCAAAAAAAAATGAAACAAAGAAAAGTAGGCACTCGAGACAAGTAATAAAAGAGAGACCCATTAAAATTACAAACACTTTGAAACAAACATAAACAACCAAACAAAAATATGGATGTACAAAAAAGTATGAAAAGATTGAATATTCTCCACAGAAAATATTTTGCAACTCTAATCTTGGACAAAGCGAGAATGTTCAACTGTGCAAGCTGTCTGGTTTGTCGCAGATGATGATAATGATGCCATGTGGCATTTACATTTGGAGTAGTAATATGTAGGCATGCTTTAGTCCCCAAATGGTTATCATTAGTGTCTTTTTTCATCTACAAGAAAAGTGCACTTTAAAGAAAAAAAACTAAAGAGCTAAAAAAATTTTAGAAGCATATCTGATTGACCGTTTTTCTGAAATTAGAATGCTAAGATTGCACATAAACTGGACTAAGCTCAGCCTCTTTTTTTCACTGAAGGACAAAATGTGAATAAAAAAAATCAGTTTAAATAATTTTATTTTATATGTGCACATCCACCGTACTGGTTAACAACAATGGGACATGGGCACCAAAATTTCTGTCCGAAATTTGACAGCAGTTGTTAAGATAACACAAGTCCAGGGCTTGTCTCATGCAAATGAAATTTTTTTTAAGGTCATGGTGTTGTATTTTTTTTATAAATGTCACCAACAGTCACCTAGATAATCAATAGTTGGTGTGCTGACTATAGAAAATGCTAGTTTGAAATTTGGATTCTGCAGAATGTAAAATAAAAAAATTAAAAAAAAAATGCTCTTCATTAGTTCTTGTCTGTGAAAACCCAAATGTTTGGGGTTATGTAACACTCTCATCAGTTTCATAAGCCCTGCTGTCACTCAAGTGCCCAGTATACACATAATGTACTGACCTGGGCAGGGACATATTAATACTGCCGGCTCCGACCTTTTTGTATGGGATAGTTTTAGGAGTATTAGACAAATGAGCTGTTGAATCTCTTTCCTCTTCTCTGTGCCCTTTCTGAGAATTTCTACAAAATTCAATGAAGTCATGGTCGTCATAGGATGAGCAGTGAATATTTGATGCATTAGGATTGGACAGTTGTGTTTCAAAAATTGTCAGATCTATCCAGGATGTCTGAGATTCATAGGACTGCTCATCCAACGACATTGTTCCACTCAAAATCCTGGCCCAAGCGGCATCATAATCTGGACCATTTTCTGCAGCAGAAATGGCCGGGGATTCTGTACCACTGTCTACAAGTCCAGAACGAGGGTCAGTGTTGTCCATCTCGTGGTCATTCGGTTCTATAGAGTGACCCTGGTCTTGGTTTTGCCCCTCAGGGAACTGACAGGATTCAGGTAGGGAATCGGTGTATTGCCCAGAGGAGCTCTGGTCATTTGGTAACTGACCAGGAGTGACCACTTCTGAATGGCACTGCCCATTATTTATTCCTTTAGATAAGTTGGAAGATCCAAGCGAACCGCTCACAGAGCCATTGGTTGCAGGCTTTTGATTGTTTGGAATGCTGATATCAGCACCATTGCCTTCTTTGTTTGTATGTTCAGTGAACTTTTTGTGATATTTGTCAGGAGTTACAGTTCCCTTAGTTAGCTGATTGTATTCACCTTGGCACTTGGTGTAAGCCAGTGAGTTTTTGTCTAAAGTGGTGCTGACAGGTGCTTTATCACTGTTATCCACTGTGTTATGATCAGTTGCCATGACAACTGAATCTTTCACGATATCTTGCTCACTGTCGGTGTTGCAGTTAAAAGTACTTTCCGATTTCCTTGCATTATTTTCTAGGTTGTTAATACTATTTATTGAAGCATACCTTTTTAGTGTGGCTTGTTGGCTGCGTTGTGGCTTGCTGGACTTTTCTTCATAGACCCAATCCTTGGCCACTGAACTGCCCCCGAAAATGTCAGTGTTGTCATGGTCTTCATCCTCGTCATCCTCTGAGGAGAAGGTGATGGTTTCTCCATCTTGACCTAGGTCATCATTTTCTGTAAGTGTCCAGTTTGACAATTGACCATGGCCATATGTGCAGGATTCACGATCCTGTTGTTCTGTTTCCCAGGCCCTCAAGCCTTCTTTGATTTCTTCTTTGTTGTTGTTCACACAAGCTTCTGAATCAGATATTCGGGGGTCAGAGGAAAATGTACACGCTCTCTGCTTTTTGTTTGTTGTCTGACATTGATGTTTGTGATCTGCTGTACTTCTGTGGTGGTTATTTTCAGGAGTCGGGCAGGTTTGGTCACTGAGTGTAGTGCAAGTATGGTGATCTAAAACTCCATTGAATGATGTCAGCACTTGATCGATTTCATTCTCCGACACGGAATCCTCTTCTGTGATCACTTCATGAATGAGAATGTCTGCCATCTTTAAACTCTGGGGCAGAGGATGGTGGTTTGTTCGGCTCTCTTTCATTCTCTTGTCCATAGTTTTCAGCACAAGATCTTCTTTTGTCATGTTCTTGACCAGTTGGTCAACTGGAGCATCTTTGGGGCCATGTGGTGACTTGTACGAGGGCAAGGTTCCATTTTGAAGAAAACGGTGTTGTGTGTCAGCGAATCCATCACTCTCACGTAGAGGATGCATTGGGGAATTAAAAGGTGTTTTCAAAAACCGGTTTGATTGGATGGAGATGTCGGACATGCTGCTGCATTGGTTGTTTTGATACATGAGAGGTGAGAAGGTCGGCAGGTGGCGCTTTCCTCTGTTCCATGCCGGTACCATTAAATGGTTTCCCTCAGGGCTTCTCCAAGATGGTCCCCCTATATTTTTCCAAGGTGGTGATTTTGGACCAATAACACCATCTGACTCTGGCTCACTGACGTAAATTTCCGGACCATTGTGTCTTTCTGTGCATGTGACACCTCTCTCGATACACATTAATATTGGGTTGTCCCGCTTGGGTGCGTGCACCTGTTTTGGGAACGGACGTTTGCGACATGTGCAAGGACTTACGTGATGCAGTGACAGGTCGCACATTTTGTTTGGTGCAGGTCTTCCCCTAGGTTGCCCACAAAGAATCATTTTTCTGCGCCAGTCGTAGCATTTAGCCCAGACGCAAATTAAGATGATCACGGCAATGGGAATGACGGCTATGGTGCCAAGGACGATGTAGGATATGTTAATGGGTGGGAGTCCTGCTCCTAGTTCGACCGTTGGCACTGGAGGAAGTAGGTCTGTATCAGCCATGTGGTCCTCACTCATCTTACATGGTGTTTTGAACAGATTGAAACTGATTGAAAATATGTAATTGACTGAAAATAAGTCACCAAATGCCAGATTAGAGCTCAGGCAAACCACTGGAGGAAGATTCCATTAGCCGTTGTCAAGACCAATTAATTGTTTCCTGGCATTCATGTCAGTCACTGGTGTTTCACCTGCACATTGATGCCAGATCAGAATAATCTGAGGTTTGTATAAGACACTAAGGTAATTAGCACTACCTTAAGGTACACAAAATACAAAATGTTTGACTGGCTGTTTACATATCCTGAAGATTTTTATGAACTTAAGTCTGTCTTGGTGTCTTGTATCTAATGAGATTTTTAATAACCCACTAGTCTTAGTATTCATCTGGTGTGCCCTTTTAACCAGCACACGTGCACAAATGCAATTAAAATAATATGACTTCTGACAGCAGCTGTTTAAAGAAAACGTCCGTGTTGTCATCAAGTAAAGGTGTTTTCATGTAAATGAAAAACATCTTCATTTAATCCACTGGCACCTAATAATCAAGAGTGTGGTTTTTTGTGTACAGCATTTTTTCATGTCCTATTGCAACATTCCACATTAATGTTTTTTCATGATACATCTCTGGTAGATTTCTGTCACAAGAGAAATGTAAGGATGCCATAGTCAAAGACTGTTCAATATAATGACTTCTTGAATACATATAATGTCGTGGTAATTACTGGAAGTTTTAGGTTACATGATACACATGTGGTTGGTTTGTCCCTCCAGAAATAAATACCACTTGTTAAAACCATTTGTGATACAATTATAGTGTTACATGTTGTAGACGAGATATTACATATGCGAGGAAGGCTGTACACTTGTGTATAGTCCGCGGGTCCCGATTTGAGTACTAGTATAGCTGTAAATGGAAGTCTTGGTAGAAATCATTCTCACAGTCAGCTTTGGTTGCCAGCCTTTCCTTGAACCAACTGTAATCTCCAAATAGTTATAATTTTTATATATCAATATCTGCTTATTTGGCACAAAACGGCGTACAGCACATAATTAACATGTATGTCCAATTACAATGTACTGGTCCTGTCTGGTGTCCTAAGTCCAAATCACTCGGCTGTTCGAAAAAGTGCTGCAACTTGCAACCATCTCACTTTGCTACTGTGATATAAAAAAAAGTGTGGCTATAAAAATGAGAAGGCTGGTCTGTATAGTATCTCCATATTAAGGAGGGTCAAGTTGATGACCAGCTGCTACTGACAGCTAACAGTACTTGGTATTCTGGCACTGGTTGAAGAGACAGTAAAAGACTGTCCCACATTAAAAGGCAATTACACTCTTTTTCTTTTTGTCATTTGGCAAGTTCTTGAATGTTATTTAAATTGGGCAATCTCTTTGTCTAAAGATGTGACAGGTGCTTTGATCATTCTATTGGGAAATTGCCACAGGAAAGCCCTATCCCTCTCCCCCCTCAAAATAATAATAATAATAATAATGATAAATAAATAAATAAAAATAAAATAAAAAAAACTTCAGTTTTATACTTGTGGGATGAAGATATACTCTTAGACTAGAAATCCTTTATTTTTGGGCTAAATTTGGAAATATGTTAGCTTCACAGTATAGTATAAGATAAAACATACATAATTATATATATGACATATATTTATAACAGTGTGTAAGATGGGCATACCTTCCTGCTGTCAGTGTGTGGCCCACGTGTGTTGAATTAGTCTAGCTTGATATTGGACTTCTTGTGTGCCAAGTCAGGTTATCACCATGACTTTATAGCTAGAGGCTAAACCAACATAATTAAACCAGTCCTAAGACACACCAATAGCATGCTGATTAGGGACTAATTAGCAATATCACATGTTATCCTCAGGCTTACTGGTAATTGGATGTTGCTTGATGTCAAGGAAATTGGCTTGATAAGCAAGTTTCATTTGCTGAGGACTGTGCTTTGTCTATGCCTACTAAAAAGTAAACCATTTATTGCACAGCAAGTGTGAAAACGATTCAATTCTTATCCAGTTTACTAAAAAAAAAAAAAATTGCCCTCATGTTTGATGAAGTAAGAAATTTTCAGCTGTTGGGCAGAGAAGTATTTTGATTTGTTTGAATGACACCAAGGAGTAAATTTGTAGTCCATCTGTGAACATTTTAATGGGAAGGTTTGGGTTTTGCTAAAAAAAATTGATGTTCAAAAATGTGAATTACAGTGAAGGATATCAAGTTGGGGAAAATGTTGTGGGGGGGGGGGGGTGTCTTTACAGTGGTGATATTCTCTGCTGCAAGCTCTTTTTGTCTGAGTAATGCTTTAAAATAAGTATGGTGTTTTATTAATTTGTTGATAATCTTTATTATTTGCCATATATAAGCTGTTATAGATATATTGACATGTCTGTATATGATGTCATTCCAGGCAGAGCAAGCCAAGCAAGCAGCTGAGACAGCCTTTGAGTCCTGCAGTGATATAGCTAGATCAGAGGTATTATTATTATTATTATTATTATTATTATTATCTACTTGTAGATCAGAAAACTAAGATAGAAAAATAAAGTACGGAGAAATGGCCAAATGAGACATGCCATAAGATGCCACGTACTTGTACAATAAGTCTGACGAAAGTGATGAATTAAAATGATATCAGCAGTAGACAATAATTGTTAGAAAAATTTATTGATAAATGAATAGAAAATTTATATGTAAAAATTCAGGATAGACCTATGATTGATATTCCGACCTTTTGCTTTGCTAGTAATGCAGTCCTGGTTTTCCAGGAAAGCAGTTAAAACAGGAGCGTTTAACTGTCGTGTTTATTCATGGCCATATCTTCCTGTGACTTTATGTGAATGCCATCAACCTGTGTTACTGTTTTTATAGAGTTCACCACCATTGCACAAAGCGTTGGAATATTTTATATTTTATTCATGGCTGATCTCTAACAGTTCTCGGTCTACTTTTTAATGGGGATCAACAACCGCCCTGCCAAAGCAATACTCTGTGTGCGGAGGCGGTGTTTGTAAGGCGTGAAGACAAAGATGAACGCACATACAGACACGTGGTCCCTGATCAAATTTACACCTGTCAATTCCCCATTATAAAAATGTAGAATTAATGTACGTTGATTCAACAGTATTTGAACACTAGAGCAGTCATGTCGGAGTTCTTATGAAGGATGCGTTTGTCCCTCAATCCAATAAAGAAGATATCTTGGGTGCATTGGCCTTTTCGGGAAATTGATGATGCAGCTAGATTACTCCGAATAACCCCCATTAATACATCAAATCAGATCCAGTTAATGGTATTATAAGTGTGATTATGGACACTTCACCTGCCATTAACTACTGGATGGAGTTTTCATATTGCGTCGTATTGGCTACCGGTTCACGCACAAGCTGGTTTAAGCTTAGATTACATTTGCCATGCGATGTCTGCACGGTGCTTGTATACTGCTCGTAAATCCCTTTTTGTGCGGCGCCTGTGTGGAGGCAGACTCATGCTAAAAATTTTGACAATTTTTTTTAATCGTTATGCTACAGCCTTCTCTTTAAATATAAGGATAACTCCAAAGATGTTACTTTTTCATCTTTCCTTAAACGTTTCAAAGTTCATTTTTCTTTTTTATTTCACTTCAGCTGAAACGGTTCCATCAGGCTCGGATCTACGCCCTACAAGAGGGCCTCGTGAAGTACGCCGACGCCAAAATCAAAACTAGTCGAGATACATACGCCCTGCTTGCCAAGTCTCTGACGGCCCTGAAGCAATTGGACTCTGGAGAATGATCCACAAGATGTGGGGAGGGGGAGGGGTGGGGTTTACTCTTCTGTCGCTCAGATTTTTTTAAGCAGACGATATCCTGGTGGTCATTCGTCCGCGAGAGGTCTCAAGCTAGGACAAAATTCTGCGCAGAAATTTGAGTCTGGGACTTGTTTATCAAAACAATTATAAAACTGTATGGCAGATATAGGCGTTCGTATATAAACTGCCAGTATGAGGAACATTTCTCAACTTTTTTCAATGTTAAAAAGAAGTCTAAGATTTATAAACCGTAATCGAAATGAAAAATTGTGTATACTACACTATGTTTTAAAATGGAGTTATGTCAGATTTGCAGTCCTTATATATTAGACCAATGGGTCAAAATGTTCAAGAGGCACTTTTTGTTATTGTTGAGCGTTACGCAGAAACCCTAATTACTCTGCCTGACAGTAATCTTTATAATGACGATGGCAGCGTGTTTGTTTACTCTTAATTGAATACATATGGCGACTGAAGGTAACATTGTTAGGGATAAGAATCAAAAACAAGGTGAATGTTCTTAGGGAGTGTCCAGAGGTTTCACCTTGTCATAAATTTCTTCTGTAGAAATCCCATACCCGTACTTTTGAATACTACCCACGGTACGCGTGCAATTTGAGAAACGATTACACACGAACATTGTGTAATTTTACATCATAATTTCATACTTCGACGACTGTAAAGTTATACGAAGCTGTCAATGGTATATGAGTGCAATAAGTCAAAAAGTCAATTTTCCGTAGCTGAGGTAATTAGACAGCAAATGAAATGTGACATAGATTTGCTGTCTTGGGTAGATTTTGGATATACCACAAACCTCTTCAACCAAGCAGTAATTGATCGAGCTTTAGGGATGGTAATTTCCTTATCACATCACTGCATGACTGACTTATCCATGCCAAGAAACGCAGATGAGGATGAGGGTCTTTAAGGGGTGTCTGGGTGGGGTAAGAGGGTTGCACCCCGCCCAGCCCCGACTGCACAATATTTGGGTGTTATTCGGTGTGCTTTGGGGCAACCTTGAGGACTTTGGTACATCTTGGTTCAGCCTTTCCTCCCTGTTTGTAAAAAAGTCTCGAGTCGAATTCACCATTTTGTTACGGAAGTGGGAATGGTTTTGGGGGGAGGGGTGCTGTGTCTGTCATCGCCTTGTGTACGTAATTATTGTTGTTATGGAGACTCTGCAGTAATAGAGATAGGAAAATATGTCCAATATCTCCTAATGTTAAGTGGAAAGATAGAGGAAATGTATTGAATTTTGTATGAAATATGAAGAGATCGACGGGACCAGTATAATGAAAGGGGCACCCATATGATTTTTACATCACTGCGAAATACTAGTTAATATGTACATTGTAAGTAGCTGTAGTTATTTCCTATATCCTACTCGTGTACAAGTGTACTTGATTTCCAGTATTTGTTTGTTAATTACACGGTTTTCAGTCCTTGAGTAAGTGACTTGTATTTGTCTGTGATTCTGTTGTTGTAGAACAGTGCCAATGTGTTGATTTTTTTTTTTTTTTTTTGTAATCAAAAGTTAAATAAACTGACCGATTTTCTATGATTTATGATATTGTTTAATAATTTGATATAGAACACGTATATGATGCTATTATTTCGAACTTTATTACTTTGACTAAAATCATATTTGTGGACCCTGCTTTGAAGACGTTCGAAAGTTCAGGAGCTCATGCAAGTGAATTGATGTTCAGTGTAAGCGTGTCCGCCCTCCATTAGATTGATACAGGTTTGGGTTATCGTGACGTAAGCTGGTCAAACTCCAGGACAAGAATTACCTATGCAAATCAATGGGGGCCGGAACCTGTATGATAGAAGACTCAGATGTCACCGGTTCTCTAAGAGAACTTCAGTTGAAAGTAGACCGGGTATCTACCATGGCCCAGTTGTGTATATGTCTGGTAGTCCACTGAAATGATCAGTAAATTTGGATCTTAAACATCAGTAATTTTAAAACCGGGCCAACGGCCTTAAATGACAGTATGTGGACTGCTGTACTTTGGAATGTTATTCTTTGGTCAGAGCAACTGTGATGTACGGGCTTAAAGACCATGTTTTGACTGGTAAAATATCGTGCCAATTCATAATAGCAATTGCCAATATCTTCTTGGATCCACGGCCCCCCCCCAAAAAAAAAAAAAAAAAAAAAAAAAAAAAAAAAAAAAAAACAAAAATAATAATAATACTAATGCCGATTATGAAGCCGACTGCAAGATCCTTAGGAGTCAGTTTACAGAATCCCCTCATGGGACTGTGGCCAAATTCCATTCCAAAAGTAATGATAAATCTAAGCTAAATCTAGAGGACTTCGCAGTGGCTGCGACGGCTAACCAACGTTGATTTCGTGTACCCGAGAGTTAGTGATAAGCTATTTAACCTTAGAATGATGAACTCCTTCAAAAAATCCGACATTTTTTTCTGAAGAAGCAACGCTTCGTGCCCTCTTATCTTTGTATTTTGCACTAGGGACGTAGGTCAAACATATAGTTATGGGAAATGAGCACCGTTCAGAGTTAGAATCCTATGATATATTTGATTTATAATTATACATTTTATAATGAACAACTAACTCTGAAGGCAGCATTCGTGATATGTCGTCAATTGTACGTTAGATGGCAACAAAAAAGTGCTTTTCCACGTATCTGAACAATTTCACACTCGTTTCGCATTCAGTCAGATGATGAAAAAGGTGGGGCTTATCGGTACGGTAATTATCCGCAGACATTATAGGATGATAATGAATTCTTTTGTTAGAAATGGCAATCAATTGAACGCTTTGTTCAGTATTAAGATATGATTAAGCGGGGTTTATCGCTGTATCTCATGAATGTGCTTTCTCTCGATCACGTCCTATAGTGAATTGTTTCAGAATTGTTTGCATTCGTGCGCATTGCTTGTGAAGGTTTGTGGGCATGTCGTCAAATCCTTGTACTGAATTTTATGTATACTGTGCCGCACGGGTTTCGCCTCTTGCTAGGCCTGTAGGCAGGGTTTTGTTGGATCCTAGCCTTCCATCAACTCAAAGGAAGATCCAGCTTACAGTCGACGTCCCCCAGCATCCATTTTGTACGTGTATCCATCATTTAGAGTGTTTATGGCTAATGATTGAAAGCAAAAAGCGATTTATTTTTGTCTGGTTGTCGCACCCTTTCAACCCAATTGTTTTAATTGTATTGATATATGATCACGGCCTAACACCTTCCATATTGCTTTTCTTTTCTTCTGGTCTTTTCTTTCTTTTTTGAGGAGTGACTAACCATTGAATAGACAAGGCAATGGACCTGTTTGTGATTTCTATGATGATATTTACACTAGGGTCCACAATCTGTCAAAAGTATTGTAAAGACGTATTCGTGCCATTAACGGTGAGATAAATTAGGAGCAATTTACTGGTAGTCTGATGAGCATTTCGATAGAACCACAGACGGCGTGTGTTGCGGTCATCCGCAGCATGTATGTGGGAGATGCCTTAAAATACACTGGCAGGAACGTTCAAGATAATTGATAAATGCCGCGAATACAAAACGAAGACCAAGGTGGCACTCTTTTTTTTTAATTCAGATTTGACATATGTGCCTTCCAATGTGAAGTGCCGATGGATGCGGCTAAGTAGTATGAGTAAAAAGTGAAAATGAAGTTCCAGCAATTAAACAAGGGGGAAGATACGTGTGGCCAAAGCCTAATTGTTTTCTGTGAGATTAAATAATTGTTACGTGACAGATAAATTGATGGATTATCATGTAACAGATATAATGTCATGGATGTAATGTAACAGTGCCATTGGGATAAAAGGGTTGACCTATTATTGAACAGTTAATGCAAAGTTTCCAGAATCTAGGAGTGAAAACTAGCTTATAGCTGCAGTGTTGTGTATGAATTGAAAGACCAGGGCTATGTGGATTTATGATAGAAGAAGAAGATCATTTATTCTGAAATGTAATACGCACCAAAAAAAAAAAAAAAAAAAAAAAAATGCTGAAAATTTTATCATTTGTCCTATTCATTCTTTCATTTAGGCAGAATAAGACAGAGTACCTGCAAATGTCATTGTAGCTTAATTTCATTACCCAATACAAACATCTTCATAATCATTAGCAACACTGAATTTGCCAGTTGGTGAAACACGCGACTAGCTTTTTCAGAGAGCTTGAGAGAAAGAGAGAGAAAAAACAATAGGCAATATCCGTAATTGATCATGGAATGAAGCCTAGCTGGTTTCCTAATCACAAAAGAGGGAATTCCAGTCACAATTAGTAGAAGGAAATTAGATTCTGTTTCTGTTACCGTTTTACTGGAAGGTTGGATGGTTCTGAGACCGTGATAGGCTTCGCGAAACCTCATGGTAAACAAAATGGATATCTGGAATTGCCGTCATTCATGGCTTCTCTGTCCATAAGAAGTTCAACGCCACAAAAACATTTGAGTCTGCGATCTACAGGTACACGACTAAAACGCTCGAAAGTATTAGTAAAAGGAAGTTATTCAAATAATTAGCAGCCATGTAATCATAGTTGAGATGTGAGCACAGGGTCACAATACAAACATTAGTCACATATATACAGATATCTGTTAATATCTAGTGATCTGTGGCCCTGGTAGAGGGTATAATTTAGTAGTTAACACTGAATAATGTTGAGTAACAACATTTACCTTATGCTTAGGCCTGAAAAGAAAAATGCATTAATATATACTTTTCTAATAAATAGTTCACATATTTTAATTTGTGGGATTGCAAAGAGGCAGTGACCAAAATATTGGTTAACCAAAGGGACGTTCCAAACAACTGTAGTCGAAAGATTTGTAGCCCCAAAAAGGTGCGACATTTTCTCTTCCATTACTGGCCATGGAATATTCATTCCTCCGTTGGAGACAAGGGCCGGTGTCGCCAAATAACTTGCGTTTGTAAGTTGTTTTCTATCACATACACTGGAAACATTAGACTGTTTTGACCAAAGATAAATCAGTAGAAATCGTCTTACATGATGCCATATAGCCTACTTTACAGCTAGGATTTGGGTCCTACTTAACAGAAAGTAAGAGCGTTCAATGGCATTTTATTTTTGAGGACTACTTGATATTGGACCAAATTTAAGTAGGCTAGCTAAATATTTTAGTCTTCCGACTTCAATTCTTTGAAGGATCCAACCCTAATCATCATCATCACTTCTGTTAGTATCGATACTCTGCTCTGGGCTTTTGCGTGCGTTCTTCAATATTATTGAGGTCACTTATAATACGGGTGCAGAAACACCATTAGACGTGCACTAAGATAAATGGAGTCTTTAAATTGAATAAAGAAAGGTATAAGTTAAATAAACACACTGTCGTTGCCAATGGATAGGATAGACCGGGGCAAGTCATCTGAGTTAAGCACTTTTATATAAAAAGACGACTGGCCGGCTTACCCTGTGTTCTTACTAGACCCTCTCCCCCCTACAAATAGGTGCCATATACAAGATGTTTGTTACAGTCACCAGAATCAAATGCATGTGCACTGTACCGGGGTATACTATTCTTTACAAAATCCCCATAGCGATACACAAAGATATGTCTTATGACAAGAACGTCTTTTTTATTCTTAAAGGTCAGTATATTGGTTGTATTAAGAAGAAACTGAGTAAAGTTAAGGAATTGAACATATTAAATAAACTTTAGAAGCAACCCAGTTACAGTGCATGCGCGGGTATGCACGTTCCATATCACACTTTGCTTTCATGTGGTTATAGACATACGTCACGTGCAGCGTTCCGTGCACCGTGTCACGAGGTGGTCAATTTTTCAAGCTAACCACTCACGTCAAAATACATGTTAGATTGCATAGTGCATTAAGCCTACTAATGCATATGGAAATTATGAAAAGCAACAGCAACCCACCTACGGTTATCTATAGATCTAATGGCCACGTTTCCAGTTAAGTGAAGACGACGCTATTTGGTAAGCATTCCATCAGCAGTACGGTTGATTACTATTTCTAATCATAGGGAATGTAATGCCACGTGACATCCGTTGTCATCTAGAGTCCCCTAAGATACGAGTGATACGGTATCCGTTGATTTGAATAATCCAAAGGTAAATCCAGTTCAAGATTTTGACCCACTTTCGTCAGAATAACCTTAACCTGTACGAAACATAAGGAGGGGCGGGGACTCTGTTTCACGGACGCTCATTTTCTTTACATCGGCAGTTACCTTGAAGTGACGAAGTGTTTATACGGCCTGCTGGAAATGCACGTCCTTATTTACCCTGTCACAACGCGATTGAAAATGCGACCATTGCTGTTCTGAGAGGTTATGAGACCAACCATAAAAGTCAATTATAGCGGAAATAAACAAAACAGTTTATGAAAGCGTGACAAGAAAGTGCACTTTGCTTGTGGTATAATTCATTAACGTATTAGCTGTGTATCAGGTTCTCAGCTATTCCTAGAAGGTCGAGAGGCCACAGGAGTGTCGTGCGTTTTTTGACGACTCTCACGTAGCTACTAAGCCTATATTTAGGTAGTACGGTATGTGTCTGTTCGTTAAACATCTTACTTAAGAAAAAGACGCGATGGCATCAACGTAGAGGCCATATAACACGTCACAGTCACCACCATCATGCGTGTGAATGTTTTTTAGCTAGCATCTGCCACAACACGCTTGCGGCCGCATTTGTAGTTTGTAGCGCCACTGTCAACAAGTGAGATAGACGATGGCGCACCTGGGTCTAAACTCAACGTCTTTGAATCTGGGAGACTCTCAACCATCGTTGACCAACTTCACACCGCCTTTAATCGAGACTAACCCCGTCTCTGGAGCATTGTACGTCGGCTATGTGGCAATTCTGGTGGTCGTGGGAGTCGTAAGCAACAGCGTTATCATTGGCGTCCTTGCTTATGATATCAGGAAGAAGTGCAACAAAATCGGCAGCGAGTTTCTGATGAATTTGGCGATTTCGGACCTCTGCGTTTCTGGACTGATGAATCCGTTCATGATCGTAGGTGAGTTCTGGTACCAAAGTTGAAAATATGTTCTTTATTAAAGTGTGTTTACTAAAAATGGCCGTAGTTACATGTTTGAAAGAAGAGACGTTTTCTTATAACCGTAATTATCACAAAAGGGCGATTTCTTACAATGAGCACCACCAGAATTTTAAACGCTGTGCTTCAGTCGCCTATATAAGCACCTGAAGCATTTCCTTCTTAGAAACCATACCCTAATTAAAAAAGTTGTTAAAAAGTGCCAGTGAGCCATTTGTTTATTGCTGTATTAGACCAACACAATATCTTGTGCAACTGGTGTAAAGTAGTGTATAATATAATATAATATAATATAATATAATATAATATAATATAATTTTAAAAAATAAAATTAGACAATATAAAATAGAAATATCATAAAATCGACATATGGGAATCATAGAAATCTATGTGTTTTCAATGGTATCTATTGAAAAGTCTGTTTGCAAGAAACGCAGTGGGAATCATTTTACTTTATTTAAGATGCACCATCAAAATCGATGCATACACACCTTTTCACACCTGTTTCAATGAGTAGATCTAGAATTGAATAGATTCTGATGACTGTGGTACATGTACTATTGCTCTCCGTATGAGAGAGAGAGGGGTGTCGTATTTTCTATGAGATGTCCAAAATCACAAGTAACTCCTTGTTAGGTAAAGGACGGGTAGAGTTTTCCTCCTTTAGTAGCTTGGTATGTTGCCATCTCTGATAGACGCGTGGACTACCCTCATTTGTGGCTTAAAATGGAAGCAAAATTGCTTAGGGCATATTAACAAGCCACTCTGGGAAATGAATTAGACGCCAAGAGATGCTGAACACGTTATTAATTATCGATACATCTTGACAGCGTGCTGACTGCTGTCTTAGAACTTGGACAACACTTTACAAAGATTTATGTCCTTGATAGAGAAAGTCATTTCATTTTCTTAACATTAAATACAGCAATGTGTTCACTGATAACAGTACAGTCACATTTGTGAAAATCAATTACTTTTAGTATAAACCTCGCTGTTTAATGGTATGGCTTCTAAGAAATATTCTAAATCCTTAATGCATGTAACCCTCCATCTACAGGTTATTCCTCTTGGGTATACATTATAACCTATTCCAATGCCGAACGCTTTGTTACACTTCCAACCCAATCTTGAAACTCATTCGTTTCCAAGTGCCCCCTTTCCGTAGTCGGCTTTAATTAAAGTGATAATACCAGCTAACGGGTATGCATTAACTGACATGAGCATCAGTCACTTGAAAGTAATGACTTAATTTAACATCACTGGAATATCGGGATAAGGCACCTAGTCCGTAAATTTCCTCGAAAATACATGTTGGGTTTTAAACTGAATATTTATACACTGTATATATAGAGCTTCTAAAGTTGTAACGTCAAAGACAGATAGAGCGGTGTTCATCACGTCGAGAAAAATAAAAGTGACATTATCAAAACACGAAGCTTTCAATAAATGACACTGAAGACGAGCCTCGTGCACGAACCTTTGGCATTCATTCCAATATTAAGCCTCTGGCACACCTAACGTAAAGGGTAACGTATGAATAGTGTATGTCGATTATACGTTGATTATACGCACACAGTGTAAGAAATCACCCTGTTTCCAGCGTAATAGAATGGAGACAAAAGCAGCATACGGTATTGCTCATAAATATATTTGCCTGCGGGTATTCGTACACCAAAGTTTGTTTGCGTACTCGAGGCTTGTTCGACGTAAGGTTTGCGTATGGGCAATTTGTTTCATGCGTTAGTGCTATACGTTAAGTGTGACAGTGCCTTTACCAGTGCATTGTATTTGCCTTATGCGCTTTGAATCTACGTTCTGCACACAACCTTTTTGATTTTGCGACTAAATGACGAACTCTGTTATCTCATGGTAAAAAGCAGTGGTATAGTTTTACATTATGTATAATGCCCTCCCGCTACTGCGGTCTACGGAGCATTTCTACGTGAATGTCAACCAACTGTGCAGCGCCGCCATTCAAAAGGCAAACAAATCACAGTGCAATATAAAGCGTCATTAACCAACATGATTAATTCCCGTTATCATCATTTTTGGAGAACCCAATAGGTTTGGGATAGTTTAAAGTTTGCAATTGTAAAAAACTACTTAACATTGAACATTAATAATTACAAAAGAATACAGGAAGATGAATTAAGAAAGGTACAAATGTACATGTAGTTATAAGTTGTTTCCTGTAGTTTTAAGTAGTTTCCTGCCGCTGCAAAAAACGTGTATTAGCGAACTAGTAGATGATGAATTTTGCATTAGGAAAAATGACCATCAAAATGGGGTGCATGCAAATAAAAAATAACGCCGAATCCCGTCCCAAAACACCGTATCAGCAAAGTTAGTGAGCTATTGATTTTTTTTATCAAGATGATTAGAACATATCATATCGTTGTTGACACATATTGTAAATGATACAGTACATATATATATATATATATATATATATATATATATATATATATATATATATATATATATATATATATATATATATATATATTGCAAATGACTGAGTGTCTCTTTGTGAGTGAGTGAGTGAGAGAGTGAGTGAGAGTGATTTTTATTTAGTTATTTATCAATTTTGTATTTTTTTTTGTTGAGATCTGTACTTTTTTGAGATATGCAATAAAAAAAAAGATGATTAGAACATGTATGTTCCATATACAATCCGGGTCAGCACACACCCTCCTAATGGTCAACTGTCGAGATACAAAAAAAATAATAATAAAATAATAATAATAATAACAAAATTCAGGAGGGTGGGATTTCTACACCGGTAGCTTGTGCCTACCGTCCTATAGGGGTCTCTGTATTTTGTAACACAATTAAAAAAAAACTCATTCAGTTTTGTGTAAAACTACAGAGCCCCTATCAGAGGGTAGCTTGAGCGAAGTAGAGGCAGAAAATAAAGCCAGCAATGTCCAAAGGTTTTTGCCATTTTGATTTTTGCTCATATTTGTAAAATCAAGGAGGCTCTAATGGATATTTTTTTGTTCAGTTGGTTTTTTGTCAAAGAAGGATAGACATGTAGTCTTTTTCCCCATGGGATTATTGCATAGGCATAATGGGCCCTCAGAGACTAATTGGGATTTTAATTGTCGCATTACGAAAATAAAGAAATGAGCCCGCTGCAATTTTGTGAAGTAATGACTGTCGAAGTCTATTGGTTCGTCACTTCTTACTCTCCACTTCTATTCAGGGGTTTGGCAAACTAAAAGGTTTGCATTGATTCTTTTGCTAATTTTCATTGAGACTCCATTTCCTGCGTTTTTATGTGTTTCCTGTCCGCATGGTTATAATTGAGTCATTGAATACGTTAGCGATGCGATTATTAATGAAATGGTTTCGTTTCCTATATATGCTTTTGTATGTTAATGATATCAGATGTTCTTTGGACAGTCTATTAAAAGCGGAAGATTGTTGTAAAACTCCTTTATTTCAAAATTTAAGAACACGTATTCACTTCATTCCCGTTTGAAAGTGTCTGTCATTGCGTGAATGTTTTGACTATGCATACAACATGTCATAATTAATTCTCTCCTGAACTTCTATAAGCGCCTAAATTTCATGACCGTATGGGTATTTATAATTATCAATGCTGATAGTTAGCAGACATCATAGAAATAATTATATATTAATTTTTCGTCTACCAGTCACAACACATAGAAGAATGGGTTCATTGTAAAGATGGAAAGTAGATCATATTTGCGCCATGACTATATTTTAAACATGGATCAGGTTGCGCGTAAGTAGGTTGATATAATGATCTTTACCATGTTGAGGCAGTTTTCTTAACATAATCTTAGAGAGGATTAAATACCCGACTATGTTTACAACTACACACATAAAAGCCGATAAAATCGCCGATAATGGTGCTTGATAATGGTAAAGTTTTACATATACATGCTGTAACTTGCTGTTAATCAGCAAAAGAAAAGACGCCCGTTAGAGAAATAGGTATATAACATACCTCATGCAAAAGTTCACTTTTGCTGTATTTTAAGTGTCTTAAGTATATGCATGAAGTGCATCTTGAAAATAAAAAGCCTTACATTATTGTCAAAGCGCCAATTACCGCGCAATAATGACGCACCACTTGATAAAATGGCATAGGCCCCTACTTCACGTACGTTGATACACTACATCACCGTGATATTTCATCAGACATGAAACAGTTAGTGATCAAATGATCCATAAAAACGACCATTGTTTGTCGATTGAAGGAAAAAGGGAGCGTCAAACGTCAGTTCCAAATGATAATCATTCAAGACCAATGCAGAAAAAACATGAGGTGTAATGATCAAAATGCCAACAATTATCTATTTGCCCATTTTACATGTACCTAGCTATGGCAACACAGGAATAAACTATATATCATTCAATTCAAAACAACCAACGATTGCAGGAGAGGAGATGAAACGCACTTGCTCTGTTACATACGCAAAAGAGCCTCTGATCCTCCTCAGCCCCCCTTCACGAACCCCCCCCCCTCCAGCCCCCCCCCCATACACACCCTCGCAGTTTTTTCAATCAAAGCGGCCATAAACGCAGAAAGCAAGAGGGTGGGAATTAATGCTTAGCCCCACTTACAATTTCTTTCCTACATGCAATATATCATTTTCAAAATAAAACCAAAAAGACAGTTTAAATTGCTGCAATTGGATCAAACGATCAAATTTGAGTTATTTTGAATGAATGACTTATAATTACTATACTGTGCAGAAAAAATTGTCATCTTAAGCCAGAGACATATCCCCGAATATCGAGTGAAAACCCATACTGTACCCTGGTAGAGTGTAGTCAGAGTCTTATCTTGTAACTAGTTGCACAGCATTGAGACATGCCAATGGGAATGGTTTCAGAACCGCAGTTTTCTTATTTTCACAGACGGACTTTACGTATGTGTTTCGTATTGTCTTTCAGCTGCCACGCATGGAGAGGAGTTCTTCACGGTCCACAGATGGTTGTGTACAACTGTTGCCGCAGCGTGCTTGCCTTTGTGCTTTGCGTCCTTTTTCACCATAGCCTGCATCGCCGTGAACAGGTACATGTAGTGCCATATATCTTCTATTATCGTTTGCAGTCTTTTATGAAACAGTAATGTGCTCCAGTTACGTTTTACAAAATCAGACATAAATATTTTCACCGTTACACTTAAGATAGCCCTGCAGCTGTATTAATCTTTTATTTTATATTCATATTTCTTATTCTCAGTTGCATTCTGATTAATACTGCAGTTGGGTATTCGCAAGCACAATGGCGCTGTGGCTGATTGTGTTTGCACATATTGTAAACGATGGGTTTTAAAGTAATTTCGCCACTCGTATACGTCCCTTGAATACAGTTGTACAACCAGCGCACTTTCCTTATCAAAAACCAGAACCCCATCGGGGGGTTCGGGGGTTCGAACGAACCGCACTTTTTTGTCAAGAAATGGGTTAACATTTGAACTAGGTACATAGTATGATAATAGAAGATCCACTTTAACGGACAAAAGACCCCTCCCCTCTTTGAAAGCACCTTAATCTTGAATATATTGGTGGTTCTATGTCACCCGCATTCGGCAGAAACTGTTTTTTATCCTGAAATGGATAGGTTTTTTAGTCTGCAAACTCTCCACACATATAAAAGGCAAAGAATATGTCACAAGAATTAACCGAGCTTCAATTCAAATTCAGCCGTACGTTGTGGGTATTGGTGACGGAGGGTGGAGAGTGGGGGTGGGGGTTGCTACCGAGTACATCACTGTGTACTCTACAGACCCAGGTGGGGGCGGCGGGGGTGGGGGAGGGGGAGGGAGGGATTACTTCCAGGCCATGGTAATATAATCGCCGAAATATCTGCTTTGAAAAATAACAAAATACGTGTAGTTGTGGAGAAAAATCCAATTTTGGATGCTATTTCACCCTGAGTTTACGAGTCAAACAAACATGCCGTTCAATGACCATCATTTCGAAACTTTGTATTGTTCTACTGATCTCAATTAAACGAAGAGAGGAGGCACCACTGTTAGCATGAATTATACAATGAACCGTCATGTTTTTTTTTCTCTTTCAGATATATCTATACGTGTAAGAATCATTTTTACAGAACCGTGTATACAAGTTGGTCTACAAAAGCAATCATGTTAGGAATATGGCTAATGGCGGCCATTTGCGGGATGCCTAATTTCTTTTGGGGCGGATACACTTTCGACAAGAAAAAATGCGTTTGCACCTGGGACCGAACTGCAAATTTAGCTTACAACATCTTGGTAGTAAACGCTCTTCTTGGCCTCACCTTGGTCGTCATAGGCGTATGTTATTACAAAATATTTTCAAAGATAAGGACAGCCAAGCGAAATGTCGCACAACATGCTCGCACGCACGCGAGCACGGATATTCACGGGACCAGTAACTTTTTAAAAAGCATTAAGTTAGTGCGGTCACTGATCGTCGTCTACTTAGTGTTTGCCGTTTGTTGGATTCCTTATGGCGTCGTCGTCACGCTGGATTTTGAAGACCAGATGCCATTTCACCTGCACATGACAGTCAACGTCCTGGCACACACTCACGCCAGCGTGAACTGCGCCATCTTCTTCATAACGAACAGACCGTTCAGAAATCGGTGTCAAGTTTTGTTCCAGAAACTGGGGGCGCAGTTTAAGAAGGTTGACGATGAAGATGAACACCAACAGCCACTCCAGTTAGAAAGTTTATTCAGTGCATAAACGTTAACTCAAAGGTTCGATATTGACTTGCGCAATGAGCAGTTTCGCACCTACCTCAATACTCTCTTCAGTGGATTGCGCCACTTGAAGGATATATCGTTGCCGTTTCATAACTTAATTTTCTTTGAAATCCAAAGAGAAAATCAATTCAATATGTAGCTACTTAACGTAAATACATTCTTCAAAGGGCTTATCTGTAATTACGAATGATTTGTTTCTCTAATATTTGGCCAACATATTTGCAATTTCTGTTACTTTTTTCATGATGTGACGTTTATTGATATGGATTTTAAAGAAATGTTTTTCATTAAGACATAAAACCACTGGCGTCCAGCACGTGAGCTCCTTTTTCGCAATATGCTTTCAATGCGTTAAATAAAGCAGACGCTGAAGCTTACCAAAGGCACACTTATGTACCCGTATTCGACAGACCATGGAATGTCACTATTCTCCTATCCCCAAATTGCGATATTTTACACGGTAAATATTTCTTTAAAAATCTGGTATCAAATATAATTACAGCTATACGCTCGTGCGATATGCAGGGACACGTGTCAGCCTCCACGTCCTGACCTGACCTGGCCCCTCTTATATGGATAATTTAATCAATTTCAGTGTCTTAGAGACGGCAGTTTGCATTTGAAAACACTAACACCAACGTCCTCTTTTCTGTTTTCTCTTATTCTTATTTGTGTGTGTGAAAACAGTAAATTTCCTCTTTACTAGGAACATAGGAAAGCATGGAAAAGGTGCGGAAAAGTGCGTTTGAAAACCAATTAGGTAAAATACAGAAAAGATCAATAGGTCCTACTCCTTTCATGATTGTAAATGCATGATTCCTGTAAAGAAACATTGGTCCATAGATATTTTCCGGTGGAAAGATCTTACGTATCGTGACGTGTTATTATTGATGTACTTGTGCATCTTTTAAGGGCCTCCACTTGTACATGTAGCTGTTTGCGACCAATGTTTGACATACCCCCTTAAAAAACCGAAGAAAATTAATAAATTGTACATCTATCATTGTCCAAAATAACGGTAACTTTGTTTACTTGTTTGGGTAACCAAAATGCTTTCAGGGCTTCTTCCAAACCTCTACAAGTTTCTAAAAAACCGATTGTTTGAGTTCTGGTTCCGTTTCCAAGTGCGTCGTGTGTGGCACGATCAAACTTTGATCGACGGGAATTTGTAAAAATAAATGAAGATTAATTGATTCTGATACACGTACATCTTGACATGGACCACAAGTGAGTCGGCTCCGATTAAGATTACACAGAGCCGGACACGCTGTATTAGTTTTGCCGTGGGGGTCGAAAATAATATCGTGGGAGCCGGTCGGACCATTCCGATTTTTTCCATCGCTTTTATTCTCTCAGATCAGGACATCTTTCCATTTTCTTGAAAGGGAGCTTGAAGACTAGCTGGAGGAGAAAAGGTGCTGATATTGAGTTATTCTGACGGTCTTGTCATTCATTGAAGCAGTTGGGCTGATCCTTTCATGCCTCTTGTGAGATGTTCTCATAAAAGGGAGGGAAACACATCGCAAAGACCAGGCAACCACATGAAGCCTTGCACTTGAATTGACTGCAACTGCTTTTAAACGAGTTTCTCTTTTCCTTAAAACATGGCAAACCATACGAATGCCTCAATGCATAGAAACAATGCGGTGCATCCAAACAATAGAGACCGAGCACAAGATGTGGAGCTGAGCAGCCTGGATTCTTACTGCGTTGATGTCGTTCCCGTCGAGCCACTGGGCGTGGTTAATTATTTCCCCGTGGATGTATACAGCGCAGTAGGTGACATGCATGTGACATCCACTGGCGGCCTCTCCAACAAAAAAGCCACGCCAGAAGACACCTGGTTTGATATTCTGACCAAAGACAATGTTTCGGAACTGGAGAATCTGTTTGTCAGCCAGCCCGTGGATGTGAGAAGATATCTCATGAACACGAGATTTGTCTTTGAGGACGACAGCGGTTACGTTCCCAGAAACCATGGCAAGCGAAAAACCCACCATCATTTTGAAAACCACACATTCTGCCTCCCACTGACAATTGCTGCTCTTTATAGATCTGAGAAATGCTTCACGGCGCTATTGAAATATGGGGTCAATATTCTCGCCATGGACGATAGGGGGACTAACATTATTCACGCGTTAATCTGGGCCGATTACATGCTGCCCGGCCATGACAGCGTGTACACACGTCTCTATGGCAACCTCAATGACGTGTTATCACGTGACAATATGGCCACTCTCCTTCACCAGGAGGATGACGCTGGTCTTCGCCCACTTGAACTAGCTACACTCCTGCCTTCACTGAGCATGATCCTGGTGATACTGGATACAGAAAGGGTTTTCAAATTCCCCAAAATTACGCGTGGGTTCGATCAAGTCACGTGGTATGACCTCACGGAGTATCACGTGGCTAATTCCAGCAAACCAGCGAACCGCTATCTGGTGGCGCCAAGAAAGGCCATAGCGGCGTTCGACACAGAAGTGCTGAAAGAACCCGCGCTACTGTCTTTTATGGAAACTCCTGTGATAGCCGCCATGGTGGACAACAGCGTGTCCAGTCTGTGGCCGTTCTTGCTCCTCATGGGCGCCTGGCGCATAGTGTACGCTGTGATGTTTTGGCTGGCTGTCATTGCTCTTTGGTTCCGGAGATATTACAGAACATCTGGTTCTGGCACTAACGTAACGGCATCTGCGCTGTCCAGTGCCAATACGTCGTCGGATCCATGCTGGGAGGACGTGACGCATGACGATTTCGTTAAATGGGCTTATAACTTAGGGGATATATCCGTCTATTGTGTACTTGCCCCGTCGCTGCTTAATATCATACTTGGTGTTATTGGAAAACTGATGACCTTATACAAAGTTTACATTAAGAGGTACAAGCATTTAATTGTCCATGAAAGAGAGATACGCAACAAGAAAAACACGATAGTCAGCGTTCGCTTTTATGAAATGGTTAACTTTGTTATGAATGTCTGCGTGGTTACAATGTTCTTTTTAATGATCCAAAGTAAAAGGACTGACATTATAGACTCCTTTGCTCTGGTAGCGATGGCCATAGCTTCTTTTTTAAACGCCTGGAACGTATTATACGTTCTACAGTTGTTTCCAAAATTTGGACATTTTGTTCAAATTGTGCGCCATCTTCTGTACGACATGTTGCAATTCACTCTCTTGGCTGTGGTGGTGAGTTTTTCCTTCTTAATCGTTATGTACGCATACTTCCGCAGCCAATGTTATGGTGATTACACAAACTTAATACACGCCTATTACACAATATTCGCAATGATTCTTAACATGGTCAATGTCACGGAGGACGTAAACTCTCCTATTGTCTACGCAATCATGGCAATCCACGTGACCTATGTTAGTGTCGTAGGAATACTGATGATAAACTTTCTGATTGCGTTGTTTTCAGAAACTGTTTCTACGTTGTATCAAAAGAAACATACCATAATGTCACTGCAGAGACTGTTTGTGATGAACGATGTCGAGGATTTGTTCAAACCGGTTCTGGTTTGCCTCAGATGGAAGAGGGGTGTAATGGATCGTGAAAGTAGGCTGTACTTGCCAGTCTCACATGGTCCGTCATTTAGTAATTAGTACGCTAAATATAAAGTATTCATAGAATTTTATTCTCGACATAGATTATCTATATTATTTCAACTGATGCATTACATGTGCTTATATACTACATGCGTACTTTGTAGACTTGCGTCTCTCCAGTGGTGAAAATAAAATTAAACAAAACAAGAAGATAGTTTCTTTTTCTTTTACCAAAAACAATGCGTTTAATGTTAAACAGAGGCTGAACAATTTGCACCGTTCACTAAAAAAAATCGTTACTCAAGAATACCTCCTAAAACAATGCTTTTGTACGGATGAACAGCGGATTGTGCATCTTGTTAAACTACACCAGTCACCGGTTCTCTATTTTATCGGATGCCGCACTTCAGAAATTTTAATCATTAAAAAAATAATCAAAGAATATATTAAAACAAGGCAGCAAAGCTGTCAAATGTACAGACAAAGAACAGAAAATAAAGATGCAAATAAGTGAAAAATTAAATTTTCACAAAAAACTGTTAAATTGCCAGAAAAATTTACCAAACAGACTGCGTTGCCTATTGAAGCTGTATGTTAGACCCATGTTTCTTTCCTGTAAGTTTGAGAACAGTAAGTGACATGATTTCCCTTAAATGGTCATCATAGGAGCAGTGCCCAAAATAGGGGTTTCTTCAAATTTTGATGCAACATTACATAATGTTTAACAGCATAATGACAATCAAATGTTATTAATAAAATATTAGTAACATGGACATTCAGAAAATGTGACAAGCAAAAGTCTTCAAGATCATGGAACTTTAAAGTCACACCTTGAAAATGCCAATATGTGAAAAATTAAATTTTCACAAAAAACTGTTTAACTGCCAAAAAAAATAAATAAATAAATAAAAATACCAAACAGACTGCATTGCCTACTGAAGCTGTATTTTAGTCCCATGTTTCTTTCCTGTAAGTTTGAGAACAGTAAGTGACATGATTTTCCTTAAATGGTCATCATGGAAGCAGTGCCCAAAATAGGGGTTTCTTCAAATTTTGATGCAATATTACATAATGTTTAACAGCTTAATGACCATCAATTTTTAATTATAAAATATTTGTTTCACAGATATTCAGAAAATGTGACTAGCAAAGGTCTTCAGGCCCATGGAACTTCAAAGTCACGCCTTGAAAATGCCAAAATGTAAACAAGACAGCACTGTTCTGAAATGGGTTTATTTCCATTTTTAACACTTTTTTAACATAAAACAAAATAAACATTTTACTGCCATTTTATATGACCAACTAAGAAAATTGATGAGATGGGAAAAGTATCAATAGAACAGTGTTAAATGTCCAATTTCCTCCATTCTGAGATTCTGAACATAGTGGATGATTGAATCTGACAAACTGCAATGATATGAGTTTATTTCCATTT